GTGCCCCGCTAGTGCAGTGCCCCGCTAGTGCAGTGCCCCGCTAGTGCAGTGCCCCGCTAGTGCAGTGCCCCGCTGGAGCAGTGCCACAATGGTCTGTAACGGCATGCAAATCTTGAAGGTAATCTTGGAACTTGGTTTGGGATGTAGCAGTCCCAGGCCACGATGGATCGCCGCAGTTGGCAGTTGTTCTCCAGTTGGCAGTTAAAAACAGTGTTTACGGTCACTCTTCGGTCTCCAGCAAGGAGACCTAAGCTCAGAGCGTGCACGACTGCCTGACCTTGTGGGAGGCTGTGGCCTGCAGAGGCATGAGTGCAGCAGAGGTATTGGCGGGGTTGAAGAGCTTCCCAGGCGACTATGGGAAGAGTTCGGGCAGCCAGGACCCTTGTTATTACGGCGGTCTGGACAGTGCTGCAGTAACTCTCCCTGGTGAGAGTCTGATTCGTCTTCTCTCTGGAGCCGCTTGGCTTTATGCTCGACACAATTGCAATGAAGATGTCCGAAAATTCTCTCCCCATGGGTCGCATAAACTAGCGGGTAGGAGAGGTTGTGGATCTTGTATGACACAGGACAAAAGCTCCGATTAGACTTGTCCCAATTGGACAGACCACCAGTCCAGCACAAGATGCAATGTGAAAGTGGTCAAAAAACCTGGAACAGCGGAGTTTTGGATGGTCTTTTAAGAAAGAAACCTTTTAAGAAAGGTGGAGAAAAACCTTTAAGGGTGGAGTTTTGGATGGTCTTTTGGCCCGCGCGCTATTAGATTATGGGGGGCCAGGAAACTTTTGGGCCCAGTAAAGGTGTCGTAACTGTCGGTGGTTGCTTTGTTATTGTTAAATTGATGATGTCGTATTCAGTTTCTGGTTTGATTGTGCGCGCGTTTGTGTAGTTCCGTTCAGATGCTTCGACTCACCAACAGGTGGCTGCCTATGCTCTACAGACGTCAGCTAATCAGCTCCTTCAACACCATATTCAACAACAGTCTTCTCATCAACATCAACAGCTGCCGCTTTTTCAGCAGCAGCCCCCTCTTCAACAGCAGCAGCAGCCTCTTCAACAGCAACAGCCCCCTCGTCAACAGCAGCAGCAGCCTCTTCAACAGCAGCAGCCCCCTCTTCAACAACAGCAGCAGCAGCCTCTTCAACAGCAACAGCCCCCTTTTCAACAGCAGAAGCAGCCTCTTCAACTGCAACATCACCAGCTTCTTCAACAACAACAGCAGCCTCTTCAACAACAACAGCAGCCTCTTCAACAACAACAGCAGCCTCTTCAACAACATCATCAGCCTCTTCAACAACAACAGCAGCGGCAGCCTCCTCTACAACAGCAGCAGCAGCAGCCTTTTCAACAACAACAGCAAGTGCCTCTTCAACAACAACAGCCGCCTCTTCAACAACAACAGCCGCCTCTTCAGCAGCTACAGCCGCCTCTTCAGCAGCTACAGCCGCCTCTTCAGCAGCTACAGCCGCCTCTTCAGCAGCAGCTATCATCCATGCAACAACCTCAACCGCCGCTTCATCAACAGCCACCTGTTTATCAACAGCTCCCTGTCCACCAGCAGCCTCCTGATCATCAACAGCCTCCTGTCCTTGAGCATCCACTTGTCCACCAACAGACATCTCTTCACCAGCAGACACCTGTCCACCAGCAGACACCTGTCCACCAGCAGACACCTGTCCACCAGCAGACTCCTGTCCACCAGCAGACACCTGTCCACCAGCAGACACCTGTCCACCAGCAGACACCTGTCCACCAGCAGACTCCTGTCCACCAGCAGTCACCTGTCCACCAGCAGACACCTGTCCTTCAGCAACCACCTGTCGACCAACAGCCTCATGCATATCAGCAGCCTCTTGCTCACCAAAAGTCTCTTTCTCATCAACAGCCTCCTGTCCTCCAGCAACCACCTGCCCAACAGCAGCCACTTGTCCACCATCAACCACCTGTCCACCATCAACCACCTGTCCACCATCAACCACCTGTCCAACATCAACCACCTCTCCACCAGCAACTGCCACTTCATCATCAACCGAATCTAGCCGAAGCCCCTGCCTGCTCTGCAGGAGGATCGAGTATAGCGACGACCTGCACAGCTCTTCCTCCATGTTACCCTTCGTTCGCCCCTCAGCACCACGTGAACTTGCCTAACTCGGGGCTCCTGCCGGCGAGCTACGTGCCATCGGGCACGTCGATGCCTTTACAACACCACCACGTGTTGTCCGTGGAGGGGAATTTCCCTGGGGACCTTTTATCTCAGTCCAGCATCCCCCAGGCCGTCACGAGCGCCAACTTGAATTCGTTACCCAAGACCTCGAATTGTCTTCGCCAGTCTACCCCCTGCAACCTGAACGACATCATTTTCTGTGACGATCTCCCTAAACCATCCCTTGGGCTCTCACTAACTGGGACCTCTGGGGTGGCGGCAAGTCCTGCGCCAAGTTTAATATCTAGTTTAGCAACAAATGTAATCCCTAGTTCATATTGTGGTGGCGGTAACTACGTGCACTCAACTAGTTCTTGTCTAGCGTCCGCTCTCAGTGACCGAGTCATTTCATGCGACACTGCCGATGCGCATGCCCCCATTCCGCCGAGCGGGGAGCAGGTCTTGCATGCCATTCCATCTCAGGACCCCATACCCCAACCCACACCCGAGCAGCAGGAGCACATCCAGAAACTCCTGGATGAGACCGACCGCAGTTTAGACCACGGGCCACGAGCCACACAACGAGATAAGGAAACTAGCATTAAAGATGAGCATGATAGCTCCCAGAAACCTATCTTATCCTCGTCAGAACTCACTTGTAGAGCACCAGACATTGCTGGAGGTAATCCTACTTTATCAGCAGCTGCTTCTGTACAGGCGGTAGAATTACCTGTGCAACTACAATCCATCGAAGCAACAGCCTCAAAGGTTCAAACTTTAGCAAATATTTACCCTACGGCACCCTTAGTGTCACGTCAAATTTCCATGCCGGTTCAGAACTCTTCGCAGTCAATCGATCTCCCTGCTTCGATTCATTCAAATGCTAATGCCTCGCCTGCCGTGCCAATGGCTACACAAGTTTATCAAACAACTGGGAATACTGCTCTTTACGGTCACTCTATCTCACACGATCCGTCTTTTCCTTACCCCTCTTCTTCGACTTACGCTCGGTCTTTGTCTCAGCCTCCGCTTTCAGCAGTGGCACGTTATACCCCATCCATGACTACCCCTCTAGGCCTCTCTTCTGTGCTGAACGCGAGTGGAGGAATCGTTTCGAATTCGGTTCCAACTTCAAGCCAGATGAATGTTGCTACACCAATGATCCCTGCACAGCTGAAATTCGACACAGCGTTGCCTACCGTGGCTGTCCTGACCTCCAACTACCCTCACGACGTCCAAGTTTCTGCTGAAACTGGAGGCACCGCGTCTTTGGCCGCCACGCAGGTCCCGGCACCTCCTACCGGATCATGGATGCATCATAACCCCACGTGCTTATCATCTTGGTCGGGACACGCTGCTGCTGTACCGGTAGAGCAAGTAGGCTCCCAACCTCCAGACATGTCTTCTAGTCAGCGTTCTGGTCCAAGTTTAGCACAAGTTAACGAGTATGTTCCTCAAGTTCTTGAGGTGGGCTCCTACCCACCTATACCCTCTAGTCGTGTGACTTCGTTTGTTCCGAAGCTGCCCAATGTCTCCTCTATTGTGGCGATGTCAGCACGACCTGAAGATGCTGTACCTGCGAGTAATGGTTGCGGTAAACCCTGCTCTGAAGAAGTGGTTGTTTCGAACGGACTGAAAGAGCCAGTACCCACTGCAAAGTTAGAGCAGTTATGCACTGCGTTGATGTGCGAGTCGAATTTGACAGCAGGTCCCACTTCCAGCGATGTGTTGAATGAGCATTTAGTTTTTGCTTTGCCACGGATATCCCCTCTTGGTGATGGTGGAGCTTCCCCTGTCGTATCAACTTTTTCAGTTGACAGTGGGCAAGCCTCACGGCCCTTGTGCTCGGTCACCTCCTCCTCCTGTGCGACCTTTGAAGGATCGTCAGGTCCTAGTGAACTTGGGGTGGCTACACCTCTTGATCAGGATTCGCAGTTTATAGCTACAAAACCGGAGGATGGAACTGGTGTTATCATCGCTACGCCTAGAGTTTCGATGATTACGTCTGGAATTTTGACGGCTGCCCATGGGGTTTCAATGAATGCACCTGGAACTTCAATGGCTGCCCCTGGAGTTTCGATGGCTACCTCTGGAGTTTCGATGGCTACCTCTGGAGTTTCGATGGCTACCTCTGGAGTTTCAATGGCTGCCTCTGGAGTTTCGATGGCTACCTCTGGAGTTTCGATGGCTACCTCTGGAGTTTCGATGGCCGCACCTGGAGTTTCAATGGCCGAGCCTGGAGTTTCGATGGCTGCACCTGGAGTTTCGATGGCTGCACCTGGAGTTTCAATGGCTGTGCCTGGAGTTTCGATGGCTGCACCTGGAGTTTCAATGGCTGTTCCTGGACTTTCGATGACTGCAACTGGAGTTTCAATGGCTGTGCCTGGAGTTTCGATGGCTGCACCTGGAGTTTCAATGGCTGTGCCTGGAATTTCGATGGCTGCACCTGGAGTTTCAATGGCTGTGCCTGGAGTTTCAATGGCTGTGCCTGGAGTTTCGATGGCTGTACCTGGAGTTTCAATGGCTGTGCCTGGAATGTCGATGGCTGCACCTGGAGTTTCAATGGCTGTGCCTGGAGTTTCGATGGCTGTGCCTGGAATTTCGATGGCTGCACCTGGAGTTTCAATGGCTGTGTCTGGAGTTTCGATGGCTGTACCTGGAGTTTCAATGGCTGCACCTGGAGTTTCGATGGCCGCAACTGGAGTTTCAATGGCTGCATCTGGAGTATCGATGGCTGCACCTGGAGCTTCGGTGGCTGTGCCTGGAGTTTCGATGGCCGCAACTGGAGTATTGATGGCTGCACCTGGAGCTTCGGTAGCTTTGCCTGGAGTTTCGATGGCCGCAACTGGAGTATCGATGGCTGCACCTGGAGCTTCGATGGCTGCACCTGGAGCTTCGATGGCTGCACCTGGAGTTTCGATGGCGGAAGCAGCCACGACTTTACATCCGATGCCACCTGGAGACAGCAGCGTATCGTCGGAGATGGTGCAGGTGCATTTTCTTTAAAAGCTTGTTGTTGTTGTCACGTTGCCGTGCTTGCGTAGTGCTTGTGACTGGTCCTTTTGTTACTTCTTTCCGGCTGTTCCTTCGTTCGATGTAGGGTATATTGAACAGGGCATTTAGGAAATGTTGAACAAGGCATGTAGGGTATGTTGAAAAAGGGTATGTATGGTATTTTGAAGAGAGCATGCCGGGCGTTTTGAGATACATCAAGCTTCTCGTCTCGAATTTTGCATGCTCGCCTTATTTCAGTATGCAGGTTTTCGGAACCCAATTCTTTACTGCCCCTGACCATAAATTCACAATAAAAATTTATCATAACTATTTGTAATCATAATTCGTATAAATAATTGGCCGTTTGAAACATTTGTCAGGTAGCTGGTAATGAAAATTTATGTCTACAAAAAGTAGAGTTGTATGGATATATAATTTTTGCTATTGGTTTCTAGTGCATTTGCGATGCTTGCGAAGAACCGTATTTAGGGTTCTGCGGACCGCGGATTGCGAGAACCGTATTTGGGGTTCTAAGTGAACATGGTTCTTGATACTCTGTGACGACCATCGAGGCCTTCCACGTCAACCTGACTTCAATGTCGATTAATAATAGATGCTTTCTATATGCCTTCTTCTAGGATCTGATTTGACCGCGTGGAGTAGTATTGCCTCAACTACTAGCATCTGACTTGACTGTAAAGTCTTGTATTGGCACAAATTTCATAGGATCTGACTTGACTGTGAAGTCTCTAGTATTGCCACAACTTCTAGGATCTGACTTGACTGTAAAGTCTCTAGTATTGCCACAACTTCTAGGATCCGACTTGACTGTAATGTCTCTAGTATTTCCACAACTTCTAGGATCTGACTTGACTGTGAAGTCTCTAGTATTGCCACAACTTTTAGGATCTGACTTGACTGTAAAGTCTTGTATTACCACAACTTCTAGGATCCGACTTGACTGTAAAGTCTCTAGTATTTCCACAACTTCTAGGATCTGACTTGACTGTAAAGTCTCTAGTATTGCCACAACTTCTAGGATATGACTTGACTGTAAAGTCTTAAAGTCTCTAGTATTTCCACAACTTCTAGGATCTGACTTGACTGTGAAGTCTCTAGTATTTCCACAACTTTTAGGATCTCTGTAGCTCGTAAATATTCTTGCTTCCTGTACTCAATTTACTCACAATTGTAGCTTGTTTGAACCCGTCTCCAAGTAATTAAGGACCTATAGGCGATTAAGCTTCCTTACCTTACTTATATTATGTGCCTTTGCGACTTCCATGCGAACCGTCGACATATGCAGTCTTACGACATGTGCAGGGTCTTACGACATTTTCAGGGACCTACGATTGCTTCGCGACATATGTAGGATTATACGATATGTGCTGGAATTTACGATATGTGTGGGAGCCTATGACATGCGTAGGAACTTACGACATGCATAACATGGTTCGACATGCGTCACTCGGGACGTACAGTCGTCATTTTGTTATGTCTGCGCCGACCTGCGCGCCGACACTGCCTCGTGATGTGGGGATATAACGGCGCTTGTCTTGCGCGTGGGGATGTTTGACAAGATGTTTGACCGATGTGTGTTGATATCAACACGTATCTGCTGGGTGTGTTGATGATGTTTGGCAAGATGTTTGACCGATGTGTGTTGATATCAACTCGTATCTCTGTGTGTGGGATGATAGTTTGCAACGTTCTATAGGTTCTACTGTCGGCATTTCTGAACGTTTTTGTTTCTGCTGTCGGCATTTTTGAACGTTGTAGGTTCTGCCGTCAGCACTTTTGAACGTTCAAGGTTCTGCTGTCAGCATTTTTAAGCGTTCTAAGTTCTGCTGCCAGCATTTTTGAACGTTCTGGGTTCTGCCGTCAGCACTTTTGAACGCTGTAGGTTCTGCTGTCGGCATTTTTGAACATTCTAGGTTCTGCCGTCAGCATTTTTGAAGGTTCTAGGTTCTGCCTTCTGCATTTTTGAACGCTCTAGGTTCTGCTGTCGGCATTTTTGAACGTTCTAAGTTCTGCCGTCAGCACTTTTGAACGTTCTAGGTTCTGCCGTCAGCACTTTTGAACGTTCTAAGTTCTGCCGTCAGCACTTTTGAACGTTCTAAGTTCTGCTGTCAGCATTTTTGAACGTTCTAGGTTCTGCTGTCAGCACTTTGGAACGTTCTAAGTTCTTCTGTCTGGTCTTTGAACGTTCTAAGTATTTTGTCTGCCCACAAACGTTCTAGGTTCTTCAGTCGGCACTTTTGAACGTTTTAGGTTCTTTTGGCGGCCCCTTAAGCGTTCTAGGTTCTGCTGCACTTTTGAATCTCTTAATTAGGTTCTGCTGTTCTCATTAACATCTGATTTTGCTTGCTTCGCGCAACATTTAACCTCGAGCTCTGGCAATGATAAATAGTTTTGTAATGACTACATAAGAAATTTGTACTTCGTCTTTAATAAACTTTTAAGGAATTTACTTTTTATTACCTCTTTAAGCTCAATAAAGTCGCCAAGTAAAGCATATAACACGTCTCATGTCGGTCTACATCTGCCGTTGTCTTCAGTAGCAGCAATACTACATTTATTTCTGCTCAGAATGTCCTCAATATTTCTATTTAATATCGAATGTAGCTGAGAAAACTGGAACATAGTTTTTTTTATTTGCTAAGTTTTCTCGCAATTTGCCTTGCTGGGTTTCTGCGAGGGTTGTGTTGAAAATTGTTGAGGTGTTGAAACTGTTGATGCGCATGCTGTAGAACTTATATCGTCTGTGTGCTAAGTTGCTGATTATATTGTGTTTTATATTACTATTTATTTTATATATCGTACAGTCGTACCATTATTTGTCATACATCCGTGTTTCCTTGCCTCACATTGACATCCTTCGTAGGTATATCATTTGTCTAAAGTCTAAACTATCATCTTTATTTGTCTTACATTCGTATTTATTGTCTTACATTCGTATCTTTTTTCTTACATTCGTATTTATTGTTTTACATTCGTATCCTATGTCTTACACTTGTATATTTATTTTACTTTCGTATTTATTGTATTACATTCGAATCCTTTGTCTTACACTTATATATTCATTTATTTGACATCCGTATTTATTGTATTACATTCGAACCCTCTGTCTTATACATTCGTATCCTTTGTCTTACACTCGTATCTTTATTTGTCTTGCATTCGTATTTTTTGTCTTAAAGTCGTATCCTTATTTGTCTTACATCCTTGTATCCTTACATCCTTGTATCCTTACACCCTTGTTTCCATACATCCATACATCCTTAATTGTATCCTTGTACCGCGTTTGCGCTGTTCAGGCTGCATAGTTCATATTCACATGTTACGGATGTGGTAGTGAGTGGTAAACGCATGTTCTGTAGCTTGAATTTGTCCTAAGCTCTTCTGCAGCCATTGTTCATTAAATGTCTTGCATGATTACGTACAATAAATGGACTCAGGTTCATTCATATATCTACTAGATATATCTAGATATTATATCATGTATCATTCATAATAATAATCATATTATTATTTCATTGTTTTTACAGTATAGATTATAAAGCAAGCTCCTTGAGTCATTGTTAATGATCTACTATCATCACTTCAAGCATCACTTATTATCGCAACATCATGTCCGCTGAATGATATATATCATTATGTATAATAACAAATGCAATACATAATTAAATATAGCCACAAATAGATTATTAATTAGCAATGTGCATGAAGATATTACATTCGATCTCATTATAAAAGATTTAATTAACAGCGGTGATGCTGTCAGTTAACATCGACGTAATTAATGTTCTTTTAAGACATTTTTTTGTCTTTTTATGCAATTTTTCCCGTCTTTAGTCTCGTCAAATCTCAACTTATTTTCAAGTAAATTAGTAAACTTTGTTGACATTGTGACGCGATGTCGTGCTAGTTATATGTCCAGCTCAGCAATAGCCATTTTAGTGTGCTCCTTGCTAGTGCTAGTAGTAATAGTGCTAATTAATAACTAATAATAGTGCTAATAACTAGCACTATTAGTAGTAATAGTGCTAGTTTGTTCCTTGCTAATATTTAGTTTCATTTATTCGTGATATTTTAAAGCTGATGCGGCGGAATGGCAAACTGATAACTAGTGTGGTGTACCCGCAGGACGCCCCCCACGCGGACACCTCCCCCCCTGCCGCAGCTGCTGCCCCCCCACCTGGGGGTGCTGTGACTCATCCTCCTGCCTTGGATGGGTGAGTGGGCAACGTATGAGGCAACTACGATATGAATACAGAAGTATACATGATGGATCATACATGTATTATGGCGTTTTTTAGAATGTCTGGTAGTGTAGTTCATTCATTTTCGTGTCCAGTTTTTAAGTACAAACTAATTGCAGAGTTAATAACCGGACTCGATTTTGTCCGGTTTTCTAACCCCTGTCCGGTAATGTTACCAATTTTGTCCGGAATATATATATAGGTATATTGGGACGGATGTGAACGTGTCAACCAATAATTATAGTTAACATTTCTTGGTAAATGTTTGCTTGCTATGCTAACCTCGTGTGTGCTTAACGCTGTCAAATTATTCATTAAGTGTGCATTTTATAGCTCGTTATTGCTGCGTATTATGATGTACTATGGCACGGTACATGCCTCACCACTACTGGTATCCTATAGCACGATACAATGCACCGCTATTCTTTACCTGTATCCACTTTATTCCTACGTAACGCAGTGCGCGTGTCAATGCTATTTGTACGAGAGTTCCCAGTAAAAATTTACAGACGCGGCAGCTTCTGATTTGGATTACCAGAAGCTGGGGCGACTCTAAATTTTGAAAGAGTGGTGGCGGGCTGATGCTGGTAGGTTTACAGTGTCATTGTATACTGTTACTTGCATCTTACTTGCATGGTTACCTGCCTTGTACTCTTAATGCCAGGCAAGAGCGTTCAGTATTCAAGTTACTTATTGTGATCATCTCGCTTTGTTTATTGCTTGATTTGATGAACGTTTAGTCATCAAACGTTTTTTGTTATAGAGTTTGTTGATTGAATGCTTTCTGATATATCGTTTTTTGCTTGAAGGTTTTCTAATATATCGTTTCTTGATTGAGCGTTTCCTGGTAGTATATAGTTTATTGAATGAACGTTTTCTGATATAACGTTTCTTCATAAAGCGTTCCATGATATATTTTTTCTTCATAAAACGTTCTCTGATACATCGTATCTTCATAAAACGTTTCCTGATACATCGTTCATTGATTAAACATTTCGTATTTAACTGTTTGCTAATGGCAAGTTTACCAACTAAACATTTTATGTTTTGTTATGAGGTGTCTGTGCCTCATTGCTGAGGCCCCACCGCTGAATATTACTGTGTCCTGACGCTTGCTTTTGTTTTGTTCGTGGCGTGGCGGTGGTGGGCTATTGCAACCCCTCTGCAACCCCTACTGCAACCTCTACTGCAACCTCTACTGCAACCTTCCCTGCACCCGCTTTGCACCCTCACTGCACCCCTAATTCGTGTCACCCCTTTGTTTGTGCGCTCCCTTCACATGTGCGTTTGTGGGGAGCAGGTGGGACCATAAACCCCATTCAGTTCCCCCATGGGGAGCCCATCACCCGATCACAGAGTCTGTCGGTCACAATCCCCCCTCGGGGGGGACCGCTACCCCCATTGTATTTGAGGCCCACCCCTTCCCTCCCAGCCACCTTGCCCCCGCGGTCCCCCCCAACCCCGGTCAACTCACCCATCGTCGCAATTCAGCCCCCGTGCCCCCCATGAGAGGGTTAGAGTGCCCCTTGAGCGCCCTTGTCGAGAACCAGGCCGAGCTGTGCTCTCCCTTCCCCCTTCAGTTGGGGGATCCTGGGGCTAGACCCCTCCTCGGTCAGGCCCTCAGCACTTCTTGCATCACGGGCCCATCTCCCCTCACCGCCAGCACACTCAACTTGAACGCGAGTTTGAGCGCCAGCGTTCATGGTGTCTCAACTGGCGATACCTGGTCTAATATCCCCAACTTGACTCACCCTCCTGCATCGGGTATCATGAACCTTGGTCATGCCATGCAGCCCAGTCATGAATATCCTCCCCATGACCCCATGGAGACCCCAAATGCCCTGTATCAACAACCCCTTGGTACCTTTACCTCAACCCCCAACACCATGGATACCCAGTCACAACCACACCCCTTAGGGGACGTTCCTCCCCATCACTGGCATGGAGATGACCTATTCTATCATGCTACCCCGTCATCAGACGTCGTGCTGACGTCAGCTCTAACCACCCCATGTCTCCCCAGCTCGTCAGGGGCTGACACTGCCGTTGATGTGGCGGAATGTTCTGCTGACGTGATGCCGTGTCAAGCGTCAGCTGAAGGCGCCTTGTCAGACGCCTGTTGTCAGCAGGCGCAGTCATGCGCCAAGCAACAGGACAAGAAGAAGAAAAAGAAGAAGACGATGGACAAGGTGCCCAAACTGACCATCCTGAGCGTGGTGGACACGATGGTCGAGTGTCAGCTCGAGACCACCACTCAGCAGACCAAGTTCCGCTTCGATGTTACCGACGACGAACCTCAGGACGTTACCAGCAAACTGGTCAGTGGGGGTAACGCGAGGGTAATATTAAGGTAATGCGAGGGTAATGTCATGGTAACACGGGTGTAATATTAGAGTAACGCGAGGACAAAGTTTGGTGGTAGTGCAAGCTTAGGTTAATGAGATGACGACTTCGCAGACCAAGTTCCGCTTGTGCGGCATCAGCAAACTGGTGAGGATACTGAGGGAATGTGAGGATATTGAGGGTAATCTGAGGATACTGAGGGTAATTTGAGGACACAGGGGGTAATCTGAGGATATTCATGGTAATCTGATAAAGGCAGTAAATTGAATGTAATATGAGGGGGAAGCAATGGTCATAGTCTCCCAACAAGCTCAAGAGTGAGGATAATAAGGGTGAAGTGATGATGATGGAGGCAAGAGAGATAATGAAAGCGATGTGAAGATATTATTTTTGAAGGGAATATATCAGGGACATGTGAGGGTTGTGAGGGGAAATAAGGGTAACGACATGTAAGGGTAAGAGTAAGAGTGCTGACCACGACTAACCTGCCCTTGCAGGTCATGACGAACCTGCTGCCTACCCTTCACGCGGAGGTGTTCACCAAGATGCTGCTCGACATCAACCGCCAGCTGCTGGAGAACAAAAACGTCATCCCCGTCGTGGACTTCCTCGACCCCAAGTTTGGGGCTGCAGTCCCCATGACGGACGGGTCTAAGCCCCCAGCGGACGCCTCCAGGGCCTCCAGGTCCCCCTTACAGGGGCGCAAGCTGTCCCAGCCTCCGACCAGCAGACCCACGGAGGAGTCCATGGTCAGTGCACTGCCTGGTGTTGTGCTGGTGCTGGTAGTGCAGGGGCTGATGGTGCAGGGACTGGTAGTGCTAGTGCTGGTAGTGCTGGTGCTGGTGTTGTGCTGGTGCTATTGGTGCAGGGGCTGGTGCTGGTACAGGTGCTGGTGGTGCTGGTGCTAGTACAGGTGCTGGTGGTGCTGGTAGTGCAGATGCTGGTGGTGCTGTTGCTGGGAGTACAGGGGTTGTTAATTGGAGTGTACAATAATATGTGTTTGTTTGTTGTGTTATGTATGTACACAAGCTGTGTTGTGTATACATGTGGAAACACCGCACACGCTCCAAAGCAGTGTACACTTGGTCACACTGTAAAATCTATGACCCCGGGAGTACACGTAACCAGTACATACGGCAGTATATATACATTACACTGCAACGAGCTGCACACAAGACACTACACAGGGTATGTATGCCTGCAGGAGGCGGTGCGGCGCAGCAGTTTCGGGGCGACCAGCGCTGTGGCCGCCGTGCGGTCGTCACGACGACACGCCGCCTCGCAGCGCGCCCGCCCCTCGACCGTCAGTTCTTTATCTCGGCTTATATTGAATACAAAATATAACTCAGTACTCACTGTGCAGTGAGTGACAGAGAGCGCATTTTCTCGTCGCCGAAAACATGAAGTCACGGAGGGACAGACAGACGGACATGGCGAGCACAATAGTGCATTTTTTTCCATAAATGAGAAAATGCGCTAAAAAATATAGCCTGAGTTCGCAATTTTGTTATTTCTACGCAAATATTATGCATCATTTGATGTACTATTCGCCACATGCATAATTTTTTCTTCTTTGGAATTACACCGTAAACTTTGCATTTCACAACAGAATTTTGTGTTATGAACTGACGATGGAGCTGGACTCCGAAACGTTTTCTCTTAGAAAGATATGGTGAATTTTTGTTGTATTGCCTTTGCTTATTTAAATTTCTGCTAAACTTGCGATTCAAGCAAACAAATGATTTTAATACTTTTTCTTATTTGTTGTACTAATTCATGTTTAACTCATCGGGGTTCAGGGGGTAGAGGACTTCGGGGGTGTAAAGGAGGACAGCGATTCTGTCTCTCCCATTCGCCGCCTGTCATCGTGTCGGGACCAGGAGCAGGAGGAACAACTGGAGCTTGCAGTGGAGGCTTCCACTCAACAACAACAGCAACAACAGACCGAGCTTCAACAGCAACAACAACAACAGACCGAGCGTCAACAGCAAACCGAACAGATGGACTCAACAGAAGCCTCACGTCAGCAGATAAACCAACAGTCAACAGTACCTGAGACTGTATCTCAGCAACAGAGGGAAACAACCGACGTTCTGGCGCCCTCCGTTGTCCTGCCGAGTGTTCAGGGGGCGGCGCCCCCCGCGCCTGAGGCAGGGACGGCCAAGAGGTTCTCCCGCTTCGTCGTCACTAGCGTCGTCTTGGAGTCCGACCTCGCGCGGGCCAAACCAAGGCAAGTTTCCGTTTTAATTTACTTGAGAAAATACTTATATTACCGAATATTTCGTTGTACGATTCTGAGCGCATTACATTCACTAACATATAAGTTAGGTATATATGATGTATGCATACATTGTGGCTACCGCCGTAGGTGTGTCATGTCAAAATGTCATATTCATTGCCCTCCAATCACATTTGAAACAAATTTCATCACAAAATTTCATAGATCAGAAATACATTTCGTCACACGCCTAACACGTCACACGCCTAACACGTCTCACGCCTAACACGTCACACGCCTAACACGTCACACGCCTAACACGTCACACGCCTAACACGTCACACGTCTAACACGTCACACGCCTAACACGTCACACGCCTAACACGTCACACGCCTAACACGTCACACGCCTAACACGTCACACGCCTAACACGTCACACGTCTAACACGTCACACGTCTAACACGTCACACGCCTAACACGTCACACGCCTAACACGTCACACGCCTAACACGTCACACGCCTAACACGTCACCACGTCCCCAGCAGGAGCCCCAGCGTGACGAGATCCTGCAGCAGCAGTAGCAGCGCAACTCCAAACTCCTCCGTCACCACGTCTCCCCGGGACTCTGCTCCTCTCCCCTCCATTCCCCAGACTGCTACTCCTACTCCAGGTGCTCCTACTGTAGCGTGCGATGCTCCTACCAGTACCTCCACTACTCCTACTCCTACTTGTGCGCACTCCAGCGCCTCCTCCAGTTCCGCCTCCACCGTCGTGTCTCTCAACGCCATCGACCCTCCTACTCCTGCATCAGCCGCTGCTGCTTATGTCCATGCAGCGCTCGACACTCCTACTCCTACTCCTACTGCTACTCCTACCACTGGTGGTCCCTCTACCTGTGCTGGTGACCATGCAAGTGAAGTTCCTCCAACCATTGCTGCTCATCTTACCACTAGTGCTACCACTGCCACTGCTGCGCACCAGGCCGAAGTGGCTAGTGCTGGAGAAGACAGTGGCATAAGTCTCAACCAACAGCAGCAAACTTCTGCAGCTGTTGAACAACAACAAGCTTCACAATCTACAGAACAACAGCAGCAACAACAATATCAAGGTTAGTTCGCTCTCAAAAAGAACGTACAGTTTTTACTGTTGTTCTAGAGGATACTACTTTAGTAACAACTCGACGAACTCTTTACTGTTGCTCTAGACTAGACTATAGGATAGTATTCTCTAGAGTCTAGAGAATATTTGCCTTAGAGTTTTTTATTATTTTCGGCAGATGGACGACAAGAGCAAGCACAGCAGCAGCAGCAGCAGTATGTTGACATGAGCCAGTCGAACATGCAGCAGCAGCAGCAGCAGCATGCTGACATGTGTCAGTCGAACATGCAGCAGCAGCAGCAGCATGCTGACATGTGTCAGTCGAACATGCAGCAGGAGCTGCAAGAGCTGCGTGCTGCAGTGACACAGGTGCTGGTATCACCTCAGCACCACCGATCACCTCCCCTCATGATGTCACTGAACTCAAGTCCTGACATAACCTACGTGCCAGCCATACCTGGTGCCGGGTACTCTCTGGCACCTCGTGGTGCATGGCCAGTCACACTTGATGGCACCTTCGTGGCACCTGATGGCACCTTCGTGGCACCTGATGGCAGCTTCGTGGTAGCTGACGGCAGCAGCTTCGTGGCACCTGATGGCAATTACGCGATGGCACCTGAAGGAAGCTTCACCATGGCACCTGATGGCTCGTACATGACAGTCCCCGACTCGCTCGTCCTCCCCAACTCTGCCCACCAGTGAGTAAACCTTCAATTAGAGGTATAGACTGCCGCCATGGTAAAGAATTGTGCTTCAGCAGAGCAGGGCTGCGTTATAGCCCTGCTGTCTGATTTATTCAGAATTGATCCTGCTGGGTCACTAGCTTAGCCCCGAGGTGCCTGCTGGGTCACTAGCTTGGCCCCGAGGTGCCTGCTGGGTCACCAGCTTGGCCCCGAGGTGCCTGCTGGGTCACTAGCTTGGCCCCGAGGTGCCTGCTGGGTCACTAGCTTGGCCCCGACGTGCCTGCTGGGTCACTAGCTTGGCCCCGAGGTGCCTGCTGGGTCACTAGCTTGGCCCCGAGGTGCCTGCTGAGTCACTAGCTTGGCCCCGAGGTGCCTGCTGAGTCACTAGCTTGGCCCCGAGGTGCCTGCTGAGTCACTAGCTTGGCCCCGAGGTGCCTGCTGAGTCACTAGCTTGGCCCCGAGGTGCCTGCTGAGTCACTAGCTTGGCCCCGAGGTGCCTGCTGAGTCACTAGCTTGGCCCCGAGGTGCCTGCTGAGTCACTAGCTTGGCCCCGAGGTGCCTGCTGAGTCACTAGCTTGGCCCCGAGGTGCCTGCTGAGTCACTAGCTTGGCCCCGAGGTGCCTGCTGAGTCACTAGCTTGGCCCCGAGGTGCCTGCTGAGTCACTAGCTTGGCCCCGAGGTGCCTGCTGAGTCACTAGCTTGGCCCCGAGGTGCCTGCTGAGTCACTAGCTTGGCCCCGAGGTGCCTGCTGAGTCACTAGCTTGGCCCCGAGGTGCCTGCTGAGTCACTAGCTTGGCCCCGAGGTGCCTGCTGAGTCACTAGCTTGGCCCCGAGGTGCCTGCTGAGTCACTAGCTTGGCCCCGAGGTGCCTGCTGAGTCACCAGCTNCATACTTATTGTGTCATCATGAAATGCATTAGTTATACAGGGTCATGTTCATGCCTTCACAGACCCATGAGCGTCTCTACGACCTCCCTTGATGACCTCACTTCCTCAGCGAGCACTTTGAACCTCAGTCGACAGCTGGCTGAGGTCAGTTTGCACGCAGTTGACAGCTGGCTGAGGTCAATTTACATGCAGTTGACAGCTGGCTGAGGTCAATTTACATGCAGTCGACAGCTGGCTGAGGTCAGTTTACACGCAGTTGACAGCTGGCTGAGGTCAGTTTACACGCACGACAGCTGGCTGAGGTCAGTTTACATGCAGTCGACAGCTGGCTGAGGTCAGTTTACATGCAGTCAACAGCTGGCTGAGGTCAGTGTATACGCAGAGCAGTTGACAGCTGGCTGAGGTCAGTTTACAAGCAGTTGACAGCTGGCTGAGGTCAGTTTACACGCAGTTGACAGCTGGCTGAGGTCAGTTTACATGCAGTCGACAGCTCGCTGAGGTCAGTTTACATGCAGTCGACAGCTGGCTGAGGTCAGTGTATACACAGTTGACGGCTGGCTGAGGTCAGTTATATAGCCAGCTGGCTTACGTGTATCCATTATAATTGTATTGCTGCATCGTAGCTTTGGCGCCTCATAGTGATTCTTATTTTATTTCTAAGTTCTTACTTTATGTTCATTATTTGATTCATTTGTACTTTGATTTATTTGACCCGCCTTTATTCTTATTTACAGCTGATCAGCTTTTCTCGTTAGCTTGCCCTAGTTCGTTCCTCGTACGGAATCATCTAATACTACCATTATTGTTGCCGCAATTGTTGACGCTATTGTAGCCGTTATTTTCAACACTAATGTCGCCACCATTGTTAGTACTACCAACGGCAGCACGGCGGAGTGGTTGTTGTCAGTCATATGGCAGGTGATCGTTGAATGTGCAGTGCAGTGTAGACATGGTTGTCAGGTATATATGGTAGTTCTGCTTCACTACCTTCTTCATGTGTGGTAGTGCTGCTCCACTACCTTCTTGCGACAGACGGTTGAGGTTGTTCCAGTGGCAAATGGTTTAGCTAGATCTAGCAGCAGATGGTATTATACCATTATATAGTTGTACCTTGCTTCACTATCATAGTTGCTTGTGCTTGGGAGGTGTAAGAGACGTTGCTTTTCTGCCGAGTCATGATCACAAACGAAGCGCAAATCTGCCGCTGACGCAGTCTTCTATTTTGGGTTCTACCTGGTCGTACGGTTCTTGCTTGCAACAATTTCAATAACGTTTAGTTCAGGGAACTTTCCCCTGACAGTATCCGAACATTTATGCACAGTTTTCGGCAGTGCTACCTAGTTCTTGATATTTCTATGCTATATCTTGCTCTAGTTTGACGTAGTTCTTGGCTGGTCTGTTTAGCGTTATCTAGGTTTCGATGACGTCACTGAATAATAACAGCGCTACTATTTAGTGACGTTAAAGTAACTAGAGCTGGTCTTGCTATACGTTTTCTAACGTCGATTCCACTTGCGTCGTTACACATCTTATGTTGCCGGCCTTATATAGAAACTATCTATTACATAGCAATACAGAACCACAAGTTTCTAACGCGATCGAATCGGCGTTGTAGATATTATTTAGATATTATTATAATATCTAACTCTACAAATCTTGGTTTCACCCAGTAATATATGGATTCTTTTGACAACCGGTAAATTACGCAAGTTCAGTAGCAGATTAGTTGTGACAATTGTGGCATTGACGGTAGCCCTATTTAGCACCAGTATTTCGGGTGGAAGTTGCAATAGTTCACTAGTTAAGGCCTGCATTTGTTATCTAGTCAAGTCGTGCACTACACAAACGCTAGGTGCTGAGCGGTAGGAGCCACGGCGTCCGCCATCGGGGGACGGGGGCCACACAGCATCAATACTTCTGGCCCTCAGCACACTACCTCACCTACCCCTACTCCTACCTCTACTTCCAGGTACTACTACCTCACCTACCCCTACTCCTACCTCTACTTCCAGGTACTTCTACCTCACCTACCCCTACCATTACTTCCAGGTAGCACTACTACCTCACCTACCTCTACCTCTTCTTTTACTCACTGGTACTACTACCTCACCTACCCCTACCTCTATTCCCAGGTACTACTTCCTCACTTAGTTCTACCCCTAATCCTATCTCTACTCTTAGGTACTACTACCTCACCTACCCCTACCTTTATTGTCAGGTAATACTACCTCACCTACCCCTAATCCTACCCCTACTTATACTTCTAGGTACTACTACCTCACCTACCTCTACCATTACTTAACACGTTGACTACGAAGTGATACATATGCGCACCACGAAATGTATTGCTCCAGGACGTATGGGTACATAATTCAGGTTGCCTAAAATTGGCCAAATCCGAGAACAAAAAAGGCCGATAACTCAAAATATACTAGTTTATTTGTAGGTACCGGGTGATGTTATCTTGCTGCCTCTATTTTAAACGTTTCCGGATGATGTTATCTTACTGCTTTTATCCTGAACGTTGCCGGGTGATGTTATCTTACTGCTTTTGTCTTGAACGTTGCCGGGTGATGTTATCTTACTGCTTTTATCTTGAACGTGGTCTTTGTGCTGCATGAATTGATCTTCATCCTGCGCATAACAGTTGGGCTGTCACATTCATCCTCGTTTACTTCCTACCCTTGTTTGATAGCCCGAACTTTTCAACTAATTTATAAGTTATATGTCATTTCTTGTACTAACGTAAGTAATTAATCTGTTGGGTTAATCATAGTTAGTTTTATTATTGGTCTTGGTGCTGCATGTGCTCGTCTAACTAACACTTATTGATATTTTTCCCGTTATTGTGCGTCGTTTTTCATGATTTGACATTTATTTTTTATGTTAAATATAAGCGTTGCTACTGACATCGCATGGACCATCACGGTCTTGTGCCCCNATGCACCAGGGTGAGTAACATGCTTAACATGCACCAGGGTGAGTAACATGCTTAACATGCACCAGGGTGAGTAACATGCTTAACATGCACCAGGGTGAGTAACATGCTTAACATGCACCAGGGTGAGTAACATGCTTAACATGCACCAGGGTGAGTAACATGCTTAACATGCACCAGGGTGAGTAACATGCTTAACATGCACCAGGGTGAGTAACATGCTTAACATGCACCAGGGTGAGTAACATGCTTAACATGCACCAGGGTGAGTAACATGCTTAACATGCACCAGGGTGAGTAACATGCTTAACATGCACCAGGGTGAGTAACATGCTTAACATGCACCAGGGTGAGTAACATGCTTAACATGCACCAGGGTGAGTAACATGCTTAACATGCACCAGGGTGAGTAACATGCTTAACATGCACCAGGGTGAGTAACATGCTTAACATGCACCAGGGTGAGTAACATGCTTAACATGCACCAGGGTGAGTAACATGTCTGGGTACATCATGTACATGTACTTATGCCGCTACTTGTACCTAGGCCGCTACGTGTACTTGGGCCGCTACGTGTGCTTGAACAAGTTTTGATAGTACGGCTCCTGATGAGCGTGGAAATGTTTCCTGAAAAACATGCATTTTGCTAAGTAACATCACTCATCACCCACATGACCGTCACTCATCACCCACATGACCGTCACTCATCACCCACATGACCATCACTCATCACCCACATGACCATCACTCATCACCCACATGACCGTCACTCATCACCCACATGAAGATCACCCACCATTCCTAATGAGCTCCCCCGCTGTGTGCAGGCATGGGGGGACTGCTGCACGACCCCGTGGTGGGGGTAGTGGGGGAGGACGGCAAGATGCCTCCCATGCAGTGCCATCCCCCCTTCAGCATGGCCTCCCTCAGCTCCGAGCTCGGCAAGATCGTGGGGAGGATCCCCGGCCTCACCTCCGACTCCCCCTACTCCTCTGGGCCCCACACCCCCGCCACTCCCGCTGGGGGACACAACCCGGTTAGTGCCTGGCATAACTCAAAAAATTATGGGTTATAATGTCCAAATGGTGATTCACTTTCTTTTGCACAGCATGAAACAGAGAGCGGACGTAGCGCCGATACTCTCTTCTACCTAGTAAAAGTGGATCAGGATGACTCACACGTGGGTGAAAAGTGCATCGCTATTTGGATAAAATCGCACTCATATTTCTCAAGTATACACATAAGACGCTCAAAGTGCCCGTACTTCAGTCATTGCACGCATTTTTACCTCCATAGTCCATACCCTATTTATTATGCCACAATAATCCTGGAACTCGCGGTATAAACATGCCTATTTATTCTGCTCTTCAACTATAAGACTTATTTTTTTCTGCTAAAATTATTAGTAATTCTAATTAAAAAAAGTAATGTAATTAAAAGTAATGAATTTCCACCAAGAAGCCCGTAACAATATCGAGTAGGAGAGTCGTTGTACATTAGAATAAAGTTCCACGTTTACTCAAGTTAGGCACGTCAATCAGTTTTCTAACAAAAGGTACAAGAAAACAATCGAATAGGACTCGAAAAGCGAAGGGCATCTAAAAGTTTTAATATAGAAAACGCCTACTGAGGCGAATATGTATAGCACATTCAAGTATTTTAACCTTAAACTTCTACCGCATTAGTTTTTAAAATAGCTTGATAATGGCTTGAATCCTAATCCTATCTCCGTTCTTAGGATAGAGGAAATTGTATATTTTTTATATACGAATCATTTTGGCGCTGCCGCATAGATTTGGCAACGCTGCGCAGATTTGGCAACGCTGCGCAGATTTGGCAACGCTGCACAGATTTGGCAACGCTGCACAGATTTGGCACTTTGCATAGATTTGGCAACGTTGCATAGACTTGGCACCGTTGCATAGACTTGGCAACGTTTCATAGACTTGGCACGTTGCATAGACTTTTCAACGCAGCATAGACTTGGCAACGCTGCGTGAATTTGGCAGCGCTGTATAGGTTATTCAACGCTGCAAGGATACAGTCTAATTATGTTTATTCCAACAAGCCGCTGTTGAGCACGAAGCTGACTGCGTGCGTGTTAGTGGCCAATATTGTCCAATGCATCCTTAGCATATGTTTGGGACATAGCAGTCCCAGGCCACGATGGATCGCCGCCTCTGATTATCGTTCATCCGCCCTCATTGGGGCCACCTGATGCACGATGCTGTTGCATGCTTCTCGCCGCTGGTAGTGTTGCAGGGGAGGTCGATCTGGGATTGTGATCTGTTTATTCCAACAAGCCGCTGTTGAGCACGAAGCTGACTGCGTGCGTGTTAGTGGCCAATATTGTCAAATGCATCCTTAGCATTGGATAATAGTTTGGGACGTAGCAGTCCCAGGCCACGATGGATCGCCGCCTCTGGTTATCGTTCATTTGCCCTCATTTGGGCCACCTGATGCACGATGCTGTTGCTTGCTTCTCGCCGCTGGTAGTGTTGCAGGGGAGGTCGATCTAAGATTGTGCCCTGGAAAACGTCCAGTCGTCTCTTGAAGGTCTCCAGGGTGAACTCCCCCTCTCTTAGATCCCTTGGTAGGGCGTTAAACAGCCTTGGCCCTGCCACGGAAAGTGATCCTTCCCGTAGGGATAGAAATCTGACTGCGGATCTGTTACGTAGGGGGGGATCCCCTTCTCTCCCCCTTCTCTCGTTGTGATATGTCTCAATACTGAAGGTTTCGCGTTCGAAGTTTGGTGCCATTCAGGTTATCATTTTCCATGTGTACAATTCCTCCGCCCAAGCAAGCCTTTCCGGACCTAACCTTATCTCACTGGCTGTAGTAAGGTGGAAAGTCGGGGTAAGTGTGTAGGTGAGCGCATGCTGGGATGTTGCCTCCATGAAAACCATACAGACTTTAGAACTGGCTGCAGACATACGACGCTATGGCTTTGGCCCGTCGCTTAAGTGGTGGTTGTTTCCAGCGCGCTGTGCGGCATCATGTCTCTGAAGCTATGTTTATTTGTGCCTTATATTTATACCGACCGTTGGCTACAAGGCTAGTTTAACCCTCTTCCGCCTGACCTGAGTAACCGAAGCAATATTGTCACAAACCTATTTCCCAAAAAGGATACGTTGCTAGTGAGCGCAAAATGACTTGTACTGATGGTTGCCGCCACGTACGACAACTTTAAAATGTTCTCTGTCGCGTCCTCAGGTTGCTACACTTAATAGTTTACGTATAATTTAAGTTGAAAGTTATGTTCCCAGAGAGTGACATGTACGACGGTAAGAGGTGCAAGAGTTCAATTTGTGGCCCACGGGTTGCGATTCTGACTGCATTTGAGACCTTGACCCTCAGATGCAGTCTTAATATAACCTATTATCTTCTTATTTCTTAAACTTGCCTACCCTGGGTGTCCTGACTACTTCCTCCCATCATCAGCTGTTACGACATGCCCACAGGTTGACGTCGTACCAGAAACCAGCAGCAGAACCGCCGCCGTCTCCGTTGGTGAAAGCCCCGCTCTTGGGGACGCATGTGCTGCTGGCGGCGACGCTACAGACTGCAATATAGTGACACCGTCAGGCGCTGATGTGGTGCCGGTAGCCTGCACGCCCAGTGAAGGCCCTGCCACAAACACCCTAGTTTCCCCAGCACATGAGGCTGCTCTCACTAGCGCCCCTGGGGCCATCAGCTCCTCCGTGTTGCCATGTGTGGCCCCGCCAGCGGCCCTTGGTACAGAGCCCCGGCGAGTGTCCAGGTTCCAGGTGACCAAAGTTAACGAGGCGTCCACGCCTGTGCTGGCGTCCCCAGCTGCGCCTCAGCCACCGTCCATCATCGGTGAGGCAAAATGTATCAATGATAATGTAAACAATCCTTCATCTTGCCTTTGTTGTGGACATCACTTCTTTTTATTCCTACTCCCCTAGCGTAAATATTCTTAACTCAGTCAGGGAATAATCATTCTCTTGTTCTGTTCACACGAGGCAATTGGTGGTCTAATTTTGTAATTTTTTCTTACCAATAACTCAGTTATTTGAAGCGCATGAATGAGATACTTAGACTTCATTTTGATTCTTATTTTCCTTGAAGAAGGTTCCATAACGTACTTTGTCAATGGAATTATAATTTTTCACTCATTTTCGTATCTGTCGCGGAAGTTATGGTAATGAATCGATCTCATTCAATTGTTTGAAGCTGGCTTATAAATAAGTTGTTCAAAATGTTAATTTCACTTGACTGTTAATAAGCTCGAGACTCATGACCTCCAGGGGGCGCCGTAGCTTCGCCTGCATCGCCTTCGTCAGCGCCGCCTGGCTGGGGTGGCGACGCCCCGAGCGTCAAACGCGGCCGCTTTGCCGTCACCAAAGTACAGGACCTGTCACCCAGCACAGCAGCTGTGCCCTCCCCCGTCACTGTGAGTACAGCAGCTGTACTGTATCACTATCAGTATTCAACAGCAGTCTCTTTATTCATTCAAATTGCCTCCTACAAAAAAATTATCCTAAATATATCATTTAGTGCTCACGTCTCTTAGCTTGTATGATATCAGAAATCTGTTCATGTCAGTTCACAAACATTGATTGTGTTATTTTGTGAGAATATCAACGCGGCGTTGATGTAGCATTTGATGTGATACAAACGAAACAGTCACATCGACAACATAAATTATTTATCTTGAATTGTCCACAGGAGATCGGCGCTCAGCGATCTCCCTTCACTCCGCAGCAGCAACCATCTGTCCCTCAATCCGCTATGGCACATCAATCCTTTATTCAAACTGCACCGCCACAAACTCCTCAACCTTCTTTACCTCTACAACAACCCCAACATCAGCCCCAATCCCAGCGACACCCCCAGCAGGCCACAGAGATGACCCGGCACAACGGTTGTCCCCCAACGCATCTCCCCCTACAAGGGCACTCGTCGGGAGGTCTTGGTCTCTCACCGTCTCCTCTGTTCACGTCAGACGACGTGAGTCGCTGTCACACTGCTCCATACTGCTACTTACTGTGTCTTTGCTGCGCCTTTGCTGCACCTTTACTGCACCTACGCTGCGCTTGTACTGCGCCTATGCAGTCTTTGACTCGATTCGCCTGTATTGAATCGGGTTGGGCGCTGAAAAATTTCTTGTCATTGTCACGTCCGCGAGTGATTCTGATTTTTGGGCACGCGATCAAACTTGAAATCTTGCCGCGGTGCTCGCTGCATAGCCATGCTCAGAGTTATGAGCAGGCTCAGAGTTATGAGCAGGCTCAGAGTTATGAGCACTCAGAGTTATGAGCTACTCTGTGGACATCATTGCAGCTCTGACGGCCTGTATTGCCAAAAGTCCTCGCTTCTCTAAAGCTTGTTAATGGCAAAGCGATATGGCCGAGTTCGTGGCGAGTGGAAGCTACAAGGAAGGCGTAAAACTATGGTTTCTCGCACGGCTATCGTCGCATGGTAGAAATTGTCCGTTGTTCTCAGCGCTTCTGGTTTAACGACCGAGCTTCCGGTTGCATTGCACCGGAAGCGCATTGTAGTTAGGTTGGCTGTGACCGAAAGTGTGTCATGTCTCAAATGATTTTCTTGGAGGCTCTCAACTATAATTAAGTAGACTCCCGTCAACGTTTCATTCCAAAATAAAAGCAATCAATTCCCAACACTTAGAAGGTTATTGTTCAAAGAAGCTTCGCTTTACATTGTGGACGCTTATTCCCCTGCATTGTTTTCGTGACCGTAAAGTGCCTAATATTGTACCCGCCTTCGCTTACCTCCTTGACGTGGAAAGTTGTCAAGATCCTCGTGCCGCCTAAATTGCTTAACACGTCTCAGTTATTACTATGATGTCATCCCTGGTATCATGGCCGCGCTTAATTCTGGTATTGTCGCCCTCACTCATCATAGCATTAATTACTCCGCAACAATCCCTGCTTCACGCTTATCGTCCATAAAGCTTCTTGACGCCCGTATGTTGCGTTTGGCTGAACATTGCTCCGTCGGGTATACCTTCGCGCCACCTTAGGGCCTCGTGGTGCCACTTTAGGGCCTCGTGGTGCCACTTTAGGGCCTCCTGAAGACCACTTTAATGCCACATGTTGGACATGTTTGTGCTGCATGCCGGTCGTGTCATGTTACCGTCGTGTTGTCAGCTGCATGCTGTAGGTGTGATCTTATCGGTACTGATTAGCCTCATGCCGGTATACAGACAAGGGAACTAGTCTCAACTACAACGTTTTGCTGGTCACCGTGAACAGGGTTGTCCAAAAGCTGACTCAGATACCTTCAAAGCACCGCGAATCACAAAAAGGATTATAAGATATCTCTAATCGTTGATAAATTACATTATTGCTACATTGAAGTCTGAATTTCAGTTGGTCACTCTTGATGAATTAGCCCCGCTTGAACCTATACTGATCCAACGAAAAGAGTAGTGATCCTGAATAACGGTTCCAGCAATGTTCGTAGTGAGATCACTTCTCTTATCCGTTTACCATCGACCATCTTATGTAGATTTCCGTTACGCTTTAAAAATTGTTATTAACTTTGTTGCTCCATTCCATTTGTTTACGCTTTAGTTTCTTGGTCAGGCGTTAGTTAACATTTCTGTTTCATTAAATTATTTTATTTTGTTTTGCATTAATTTCAATGAGCAGCTTGGGCAACCTATGACTCAAGAGGCCGTCTCTTCCCCTCACGCCCGTTGGCGAGTCCCTTTGAATGACCCACGCCGCAAGTACTTCTCCCCCAACCGTCGCTTCTGTAGCAAAGATGAAGATGAGGACTCCGGCGACGAGGCAAGTGACGAGGAAGAGCCCTTCACTTCGAATGCCCTGCCCGTCAGTGCCCGTCTACATCGCTCTCGTCTACAGTCCAAAAGGCTGCTGATGCACCACCCTAGCTACTTCACTGCCCACGACGAAGGACGAAGTCGTTCTAAGCCTCGAATTCAAAAGACCAGAAACTTTGAGCTGAGCTCCAGCGTTGAAGACTCCACGTCGGTCGCTGGTAACACACGCAAGATCGTCCCCCAAAAAACGCAACCTCTCGCGGTTCCAAATTTTCAGTACCAGAATATGAACTTTTCTCGCGTTGACCCCGCGGAGTCGTTATTGAGTCCTCCACCTCAGCTGTGGCGCGCCAAGAGCCTTGTTTGTATGAGGGATGCCAGCACCGCAAGCCCGCCCCTCGCATCCTCCTTTACAGGACAAGGGCCACCGACGCCTCCTCCTAGACGCCGCAGGAACCTTTTGAGGAACTCGATGAGCGTGCAGAATGTTCACTCACACGTGGAGGCCTCATCTCCTCTGGATCATCATGTTAAACTCAGTCCTGCTCACCGGAGGCTTGTTTACGATGACACTCCCTCTTTGGGGAGTGGTTCCCCGCTGTTGGATGTACAGGGCCACCTGGGTGCAAACTATCACACCGTGCACGCTAGTCCCTTCTCAGTATTCGGGACCTCTCCGCCCCCGCGACCACCTTCACCCAAGTATCTACGACCGGCTCTTGACTCGATGTATCACACAATTCAAAGTGCAGGCAGCTTCTCTGAGTACGATCGATCATCACGTCTCGGACGGACCACATCCCATGGCAGCTTGCGTGGCCCTGCCCTCGCCCACTGGTCCAATAAACACAGCTTGGATTGCTCTGATAGCTCTGGCAGCATCAACGATAATCTTGACGCGATGTCCCGGCAGACACAGTCACGTCCACATGCTTCACCCCGGACAAGACATCCTCACTCGGGGCTGCCTGACAAGAACATCCCCGACTGCACTTTACTCGAGCATTTTCTCCTGCCGCCAGTCCCCGACCCTCGGAGCGCTGCGCTACGCCCCTTAGCCCCCCGGTGATATCGGTGCATGATGCCGCACGCCCCCGCGTTGACTCCAATCCAATGGGACATCATCATCACTACTCTGGTTGTGGTTACCCGCACTGCGGTAACCAATGTGTTGGCAACCAGCGGTGCCGTAACCCACGTTGCGGTTGTCACTTGGATTACCACTTCGTGGCCAGCAGCGTCAGCCCCTCACAGCACCAATGTTCAGTAGGTGTTCTCTATATGGAACACTACTATGTTGGGTCTCCCTGTTCTTCGGTATCGGACGGTGCTGCTCGCTCTCGTTCATGCTCACCCTTCATCCCCATCGCCGCCCCCACTGAGCCCCAGGTTGCCTGCTCAAGCCCCAGACGCTGGCACGAGACTGTAAGATGCAAACAAGCCAAGACCGCTTCATCATGCCATGATTTCTTACATGATGCCATGATTCCCATGATGATTCTTTCATGATACCGTGATTCCCTTGATGATTCTTTCATGAAGCCCAGATTCCTTTGATGCCAATTTCATTATACCGTGATTCCTTTGACGATTCTTTCATGATACCGTGATTCCCTTGATGCTACTTTCATGATACCGTTATTCCCTTGATGATTCTTTTGTGATGCCCTGATTCCCTACATGATTTGTCAAGATGCTCTGGTTCCCTACATGATCTGTCAAGATGCCGTGGTTCCCTACATGATTTGTTATGATGCCCAGATTCCTACATGACTTGTCATGATGCCCTAATTCCCTTGATCGCTAAATATTATCATCATTGACGCCTCCATTCCTCCGATTCATGCTTGTTCAAACTGCTCACTCCTGCTCTCTATACTCGCACGTTGTTGCATTTAGTGTTACTCCTGCACCAGCCTTGTAGCCTTGCTTTGAGTGTGAATAAAATATCGATTTCGTGCTCGGCTAGACATTTTGTGATTTAAAAGTACTTCCTGTACGCCATGTTGTGCTGTAAAAGTGCTACCTATATGGTTTAATTTGAAGTTTTTGCGACGACCATCTAACCTGCACGGCTTTCTCTGTGTGCCTTCTTGTGTATGCACTCAATCTCTCCTTTGCCCCTTTGACTGAATTATTCAGCAGTGCGGTGGCAGCACTCCGCTGCCCCTTTGACTGAATTATTTAACTAGTAATGGTTTAACTCCTCTACCTAATTGAACATTATTCAATCATAATTTTATATGTAATTCGATGTTGATGCACGGAACTTGACTCAGCGTGTACCCAGATAGCTGTTGCTCTTGAGTGACTACATTGCTTCCGCTTGCCTTGCTTGAGTTTGTGGGCGCTAACTCAATTGCTGATATCAGCTATATTTATATGTATATTTATGTAGATATATATAAATAGGCATACAGATCAATGCTTAAATACTCTGCGTCGGGGGGGGGGGAGCTGGGACTATAAGCGCGGTAAGGAAACGCGTGCCAAATCGCCATACTGTAATAAAACGTGTACATAACGTGTGATAGCATGCTTAAGCGTGTCTTGACTCGCTTAGACCTGTCTTGACATGCTTAAACGTGTCTTGACAGGCTTAGACCTGTCTTGACATGCTTAAACGTGTTTTGACATGCTTAAACGCCTCTTGACATAAATAAACGTTTCTTGACATGCTTAGACGTGTATTGACAGGTTTAGGCATGTCTCGACATGTTAGACGTGTCTCGACATGCTCTGACGTGTCTTGGCATACCTAGACTTGTTTTGGCATACCTAGACGTGTTTTGATATGCTTAGACGTGTCTTAACATGATTAGACGTGTCTTAGCATGCTTGAACATGTCCATCAGCGTGGGCACGCTGATGGAACAGCGTGCCCACGTTACAAAACGCAGGTTGTGGCGTCATGCTGCTCAACATTCCTTGGTACGTCATGCCTAAACTCGATTACTGTGGCATGACCTCAGCTCGAGGAATGCCACACGCCTACGCCTCGTCTGACCATTCCTTAGCCGAGCTCATGCATGGGGGAGTGTTCCTTGGGTGCTTTAGATTGCTGCTCTTCTTACTGCCTTTCAATATCCTCTTTCGTACACAATTTCAGTCTATCTCTGCATCTGTTGATATGCTTCAACTCCCAGGGCTAGGAACCAGGATATTCTAGTAACCAGGATATGCTAGTAACCAGGGGCCATACTTTCAAAACACGCTAAGTGAACGTAAGTACTTACGCTCTGTTTTCTTGTCTATGATTGGTGGATTTGTCTTGAAAGGCCGTCAATGATTGGCTGATGAACTAACGATCTCTTAATTTTTTTTGAAAGTATAGGCCCTGGATATGCTAGTAACCAGGTTGATGCGGTACCGTTTTCTTGTTAAGCGAAGGTAGCTGCAGTACTAAAGTGGACCGACTGATAGAAGTGGTGGACTCGCTTCCTGTCTTGAACACAGTAGCTACCTGGTATTAGTCAGTTATTCGTATGAGTATGACAATAAATCATTAAGCACGCACTGTAAATTATTCAGTACAATTGAATTACAATTTAAGTTTTTTGAGGTTGAATCAAGAAATAGCTTTAGTGATTGATGATGGCGCTGCCGTTCAGTCTCATGAAGGATCAGAAGTGCTGAGATTAATTACAATGTTATGTTGTATAAAACATGGGAATCGTGCATCGAAAGTCCCCAGTTACTGCCATGAGACAGTGTATATGTGGAAAGAAATACAGTATTATAGGTCTACAGTACATATGTGGGTATTAGTCACACACAATGATAGGAACGCTGGGGAAGGCCTCTTGAGGCTCCTTTGTGGATTGTCTGCCTGGGGGATGAAGGGATGAATCGGAGTAGGTATGGGGAGTAGTGTGGGAGGTATAGGGGTCTTTGGGTGTAGTGTGTGAGGTGTAGGGGTCATGGGGTGTAGTATGTGAGGTACAGAGGTATGGTGTGTAGTGTTTTACTTGTCGCTCACAGCATTTAAGGCTCGCTTAAATCTATGGAGTAATTTGCTTGCTTATTAGCACATTTTATTCTAAATTATCTTTCATCATTAATTATTAACGCGTATTCTCTGCACTGCTTCTAATCCATAATTTCGTATTTTTTCTTTCACACAGTTGTTTGTATTAAAATACTGATTATTACATTGCTTCGGCTAAGCGACTAACTGATAATAATGATAAAAATTACCGCAAGATTTTACGTTTTTAGGTCGAACGTCGTGCGCTCCGCTCTGACGGGATGGTAATTACGTTCGTATAATGAACATAGTACACTCATTACTACGACATGTAATACATAGTACATGGACATATACTAGTACATGTCCTACGTGACATGAACATTTATTACACATAACCTCTGCGGCTAGGACATTTATTACTCATAACCTTTTGGGCTAGTACATTAATTACTCATCACTCCTCATCACAATATCACCACTCAAAGATTGCGAGTCACCATTTTTTAAGGTAATTGTGTCTTTAATTCGGAAACCAATGCATCACCAACGCTCAATTACCCTTCACCAATATGATATCTACCAATCATTCTCCTTGATATAATCATCACCCGCGCTATATAACCATCACCCGCGCTATAACTATCACCCGCGCTATAACCATCACCCGCGCTATATAACCAACATCCGCGCTATATAACCAATATAACCATCACCCGCGCTATATAACCATCACCCGCGCTATAACCCCCTACACCCGCAGGACCTACGGGAGGGGGACGCGGGCGGCAGGAGTTCAGACGACAACTCAGACAAGGAACTCGAGTCCCTCAGGCGACGGTGAGACGCGCGTAGCACGGTACCGTGTGTACCGTGTGCCTGTACCGCGTGTACCGTGTGCCTGTACCGTGTGCCTGTAGTGTTGTGTACCGTGTGCCTGTAGTGTCGTGTACCGTGTGCCTGTAGTATTGTATACCATGTAATCATAGTATTATACATCATCCACCGATTGTATACTTTATCAACTTTTGAAATATTAATTAGTAATATGAGTGTGTGTATCATGACACGATAAGTTGGAGTGAACTGAATAACATCAACTGAGAACTTGACTCGATAAGTTGAAGTGAACTTAACTGAATAACTCCAACTGAGATCTTGACTCGATAAGTTGAAGTGAACTGAATAATATCAACTGAGAACTTGGCTCCATAAGTTGAAGTGAACTGAATGATATCAACTGAGAACTTGCCTCAGTAAATTAAATGAATGTTGTGTATTGCAGGCAGCAGCAGGAGCGGCAGGAGCTGGAGCGGCGACACGAACGCGAGTTGCTCGAGATGGCGTCCAAGAAGTCGTCCCGGTCACACCACCGTCCCCATACCCTCGTCTTGGGGACTCCTCCCTCTCTGTCCACATCCCTGCAGACCTTCCCCTGCATGGGGGGAGGGGCTGAGTACCATCATCCCCACAATGGGGAGGTACGGCACATGGGATATGGGCTGCCACCTCTTGACAGTTCGGTGCCCATGGTTCCCGACGCGGGGGATATGGAGGGGAATTATACAACCCTGCCCGTCGTTGGGGGAGGTTACTCCACTAGTGGAGGATACCTGATGCCAGGAGTACCGCCCCCACGGCCCGCAAGTCCCTATCCTCCTGGGGGGGCGGCGTGGGAGGGGCCGCTGGAGGGGCGAGGGCTGACTTCGTCCCCCCGCCCCCCTCAGTCCTAATGTCGTCCTTGCCTCACCTGGCCTCTGTGGGGCCTCTTATTATTATCTGTGGGTCCTCTTGTTAAAATCTGAACTGACGTTGGTGACGTCATCTGCTGTGGTGACGTCACCTGTTGCGGTGACGTCACCTGTTGCGGTGACGTCATGTGTCGATGATGGTGTCAGCCCATCTCATGTCATCTATCATGTGTCAGCTGTGTCATGTGTCAGCTGTGTCATGTGTCAGCTGTGTCATGTGTCAGCTGTGATGCCGTGTATCACATTCCAGTCTTTGCCTCATAACGCCGCTGCATCTCTACGCGCGTTAGCGCATTCATACCTAGAAAAATGATTGGCTCGTATGTCCCAAAAAGAACAAACTTTCCTACCCACAGCACCAGCACAAAGCTCTTTTGTCATGGACCCACACAAGAGCGCCATGTGCGCCGACCATGGATGGTTCTTGGTCGACGTAGCGGGTCAGGATGATATTAAGTCAATAAGTGCGTCCTTTTTTGGAGAAGGTCCCATTCATTTATCTGAGTGTAAGCTTTGCTATATTGCCGCGCTGGGCAGCGGCAGATGTAAATATGTACTTAGAAACCTTCGTGTAAGGGATGGGGGGGGAGTAGTTGTCAGACTCTTGTCTTATCCTGGCTTTTATTACTCGCTGGGGCTTTGTGGGGTTCATGGGGAAAGCTTGAGTTCCCAAATTTTAGTGTCTGAAGCCCAATTTAAGAGTGTGACCGCATGTGGTCTCTGTGTGTGGCATTGGATATGCAGGTATGATGCCCATAAAGATGTGGATGCGCACATGGAGGACGTGAACACTTGCCAACACATTCATTAAGTGAACACTATAGGTACACATTCAGAGCACACGTGCTGCGCGAACATTTTAGGAACCCTGGGCACGCCACAAACGACTGAGTCACTCATTCTTATTAAGAACCGTCACAGTTTGTGTTGTGCCATGAACAGGAAGCACGAACAAAAAAATGGGAAGCACGAACTCCCTAAAGCTGCCACTAACACATGTAGACAACGACCACACATCAAAATTAACGATCAGACAGCATAATTAACGATTAGATATCAGCAAATTAACGATCAGACATCATTTTACAATCAGACATCATAATTAACGATTAGATATCACTTGACGATCAGACATCACTTAACGATCAAACATCATAATTAACGCTCAGACATCGGTTAACAATTAGACATCACTTAACGATCGGACATCACCATTCACTAATACTCTGTACCACTCCACGACGGAGAGATCGTGTCGGTCGTAAAGGCTGTGAGGAATAGTGTTAGGGGCGCCGCCTTCCTTCCTGTACATTGTCTTAAAATATTAGCGCTGCTTCATTGTCTTATTTCTGTAAATTATCTTACAATAACTGCGGTGCCTCATTGTCTTATTGTCTGATTTTTGACGAGCCTTTTTATGGTACACTTTTTATGGATTCAGCTGGATGCTTAGCTGGATGCTTGTCTCCTGTGGATCCAGCTGGATGCTTGACTCCTGTGAATCCAGCGCATGGTGGACGCCTTTGGACGATCTGAAAGACAAAGTCCCGCGCTTGCGCTAGTCTGGTACTCTGGTTCTGCGCTCACGTGGCTTTGTTCGTCACGTTCGCTGCGTCCCGAATGCCGCTCGCTGTTTTTATTTTCTTTCACATTCATTTACTGAGTCAACTTTTTCGTACTTGTAAAGTTGTGTTTGCATTTTAGAGAATAATTTACAGTCCGTGTCCAATTCGCGTGTCGGTTTTGGGCTTTGCGGCAGTTCATTGTTCACATAAGATTAGTCGAGATGCTTCCTTCTGCTTAAGCGTTGCTTGAGTTGTGCGTTAAATACGTTAATTTACTGCCCTCAATGTGCAGAACCGCACGAGTCCTCTTCACAAGTCTCCATAAACTCTCGCCAATTGCAATTTAAGGGACAGAAGTTCGTAGCATTTTTACTATTTTGAATTTTAAAGAGAATAAATCGTATTATTTTCTCACGAGTTTATAATTGCGAGCACAAACAAGTTGTACTATAAAAGTCCCATCGATGACTCGGCCGCTGGACTCGTTTTTTAACTTAGTCTGCCCTTGGAGGCTCATTTTGCTCGCATCGTCCCTATATTTCGTTACATTTGCTATGCTTCTGTTGCACAAAGCATTTATTGCTCATATATACTTAACGTTAGTCGGTGTAGAAAATCGATCGAGTTCTTTCTACTTAATCGTGTAACTTGTTAATAAAGACATTAGACGATCATCGTAAGTCAGAGTAATATAAAGGTTAGTGGTAACACTAGTGCTATGATGATGGTGTGGTGAACAGGTTGTGGTGGTGGCGAGGTTGTTTCCGAGCTTTTCCATGTGCATATTTTCCTTGTGAAATGTTAAAGAATGTGTTCGCGAACAGCAAGATTTTTCTGCAGGAAAACCTACTGGGATATCATACGCCCAATATCCTTCTCTGAATTTGTTTTGTATTAATTCGAAGCATGGTTATCATTTGAAATTTGTTAGTGTATCTGTGAATGGTACTTGGGGCTGCGTTCTCATTGTCCTACCATGACTATCGGTCATCCCTTCTGTAGGAGTAACAACGTAATACCTAAACAGGATTTGCGGATGGTGAAGGGGATAGCTGATGGTGAAATGTAGCTTGCTGTGTGGTGAAGTGTTTTTGTTGGGTGGGGACGCTGGTGATTGAAGTTGAGGATGACAATTCCCAGTATCATTTGTGAGAGAAAACTGCTTTGAGGTCTTCGTGTAAGGGTACGCACACAGTGAAAGCAGGTTTTCCCGCGCGGGCAACCTGCTCCAACCTGCCACAAGAATGAACATAGGATAATAATGTAAGTGTTCACAGTGAAAACCTGTGCAAATAGGCTTCTGTGTTCTATGGTTTCATGCGCCAGCCTGAGCAGGTAACCAGCACGCTGGCAACCTGCTTTCACTGTGTGCGTACCCTAATGCTGGAACGTGTTAATGCGTTAACCTCACGCGTCTTGATCGTCATCCCCACAATAGCCCCGGGATGTGGGGAACAGCGATGTCATCGCTTCTGCATTTGATAAACGCCAAGCTAGAAGTTTTACTAAGTCAGTCTTTATATCTCACGTAGTATTTCGGTGAATGGTTTACTTGCTTTGCTTTTGTTTACTCAAGTAAATTGAACAAGTAATGTTGAGCTCATCGGAGTCTTCAATAAATACAAAATGAGAAACTCGTTATGAACTTTCATTTTCCTCTACTCTTCAAAATTCGTTTATGGTACTAGGAACCATCACACGTTTATCACTTACAAATTTTTATCGGTATCGCGCAACTCCAGAAGGAAGTCAAAAACATAATTCTTTCCTTATATTTTACTCGCAAATCAACGTCAACTTTTTCCGGATTGCATACGTAAAACTGTACAGACATTCGGTACGATTGAAACCTTATACAATTATGCAAGGTTACGAGGGTTGAGAGGGAATTGAAAGGCTACAGATGAACACAATATACATTGTATTCTCAAACTTTTTAAGGACCTAATTTATTTAACTGAAGCAGGCGTGAAAGGAAAGCAACATTGCCATTCACAGATAAAAAATGGATCAGTGATGCACTTCTGAATCAATCATTTCCTGCGAAGAGAAGACTATCTGGCGGCTGTAGAGACTTGCGGCAATTACAATTAAGAGCGAAATGTGTGATGAAACATCTTTCACATAGCAATGGTAATACGAAACTATCACTGGTGTTGGTTGTCATTAACATTAGTGGCTGCCATTAACCAAAGGCACGTCACTAGTGGCTGCCATTAACTAACGGCACGCCACTAGCGGCTGCCATTAACCAAAGGCACGAATTTTCTTCTTCAGCGCAGCACTGTGCCGCGCAGGCCGAATGATACGTCAAGTCGACGCTAATAAGTGGCGTGGTCGACCGTGTCAGACGCGGCCGACAGGTCGAGTACCGGTTATGACTCTTCCCATGATCGTATCCAGCGAACGCTGGATACGATCATAGATGGAACGCTGGAACGATCTCTCTTTCAGATCGAAGAAGGTCGACATAATTGCGCCGCGCATCTCGCCATGTGGAGGCCACAGCTGGAGCAGTCGTCTTTTCGCCCGGTAGACAGCCCGCTGGAGCAGTCGAACCCCTCGCTTCGAGACCCGACATTCATCGTCGAACTATGGGTCGAAGACTCGCTGTAGCGACCCGAACTGGGCGTGCAGGAATGAGGTCGTCGAGTGCACAGGTCAACTCGGTGTTATAGAGTTGCAATAGTTCGTTGACTGATGGCGCCAACCATGAGTCAGGCCGATATAGTCGGGACGACTGCAGTTTCTCGCACAAGACATCGCCGTCGAGACAGCGCCACGGACGACAAGTAACGGTTTTGTACGCTGGCAGCCCAGCGCACACACGACACCGTCTACTAGCTGAAGAAGTCGATGGTTGGATATTGTGATTTCGATGATGTCGGCTGGCAAAAGTTGAAGGTCAACACGCATAATGACAACGTCTAGCAGTCTGCCTGTGTCGTGCGTTGGCAAGGTCACGTGATAAACAATGCCGAAGGGTCGTCAACGACGATCCTAACATCAGTTGTTAGGATCGCCGACGCGATCCAGTCGAAATCACCGGTGATAAGGACATGATTGGTGAGAGTTCCTAATGTGCTGAAAACGTCGCTTAATTAAACGAAAAACTAACGCGCCACAGCAACCGACCCGGGACGATAGATGATGACAGCAACGCACGTTAACGAGGCGCAGGCTACCCTAGCACACAGCAACTCAAAGGTCGGGCGCCGATGTCAAGCATGGTGAGGTCCCTGCTGGCGTCGTTCGCTACTGCGTCGTAATCCGTCGCTAGGGCGTTAGGCCAGCAGGAGTCTTAGAATTTCAAACAAGAACCAACACCAGGGGCCACGGCTATAGACTAAAAAAAATATAACTCAGTACTCACTGCAGTGAATGACAGAGAGCGCATTTTCTCGTCGATTTTTTCGACTTCAATAGCGCCTTTTTCCATAAATGAGAAAATGCGCTAAAAACTGCGTTGTAACACATCAATGCGACGACATTTCTTCTTGCTTCCAGTCACCGACATATAGAACAGCCTCCCTGATATAGCATCGTTGATGCTCCGAGTATGAACATCTTCAAGAACAGACTAGACGAAGCTATGCAGGAACATATGTTCAGTCTTGAAATGCCTAGCACCTTATAGGCCTTGCAATAGGCCCAGCAGCTATCTTAATCAATCGTCGGTTATGGATATATCGGGTTTAGAAGGCCGGATCCTTTGTGGAATCAAGTAAGAAAAAGTACAAAAATCGGCGAAAGGCCATGGGCCCATTTCTTCAGTGCCCACACTTCTATTCTATTCTATGACCAGCTGTTATTCTATTATGAGCTAAACCAAGCGTATCTAATTCACTTACCGAAGCATAAAGCGCCATCACAATTTATCTACACCATATATTTCACGTAAATAAATTATTACAATAAATAAATTATGTGAATGAGAGCTATGTACGGGGTACCCACCTGGACGCGATGCCCGAGAACATGCCCGTGTCGACGTAGTACGGGCACACGAGCGTCGTGAGGACTCCTGTGTGACCGTTCACCTGCGCCAACAACACAATTAAAAATGGCTTCCAAAACAAACTACTTTATCATCATATGGCAATTTATATGTTCAACGTCAGCGTATACAGATTTAAAGCAGAACTAATACAAACAAAACATGACACCATCGTTAACTTGTACACAGTAAAAAAATTAATTTACTGAACCAAATTCGAATAGATAATATGAAAAACCATGCACCCAACGTTAGCTTTACACAATTAGTTTAAATAAAACGCATTAATGATATATCCTATAACGATATTTGGCATTTTTATCGAAGGCTGTTTTACTATGCAAAATAAAATTCGTTCTAATGCAACAAAGAACTATATATAAATTAATGGTATGAACTGACAGAAGAATTATATATTTCCCCATACATACTACACTAATAAAATTAATGCTTTACAGTATCCGAAGGCTGACACACTTTGCTGCACGAAGTCCTGATACGCCCTTTCATCGGGCCAAACTTTTTATTGAGTGACCCACAGGAGGCAAAAGAAAAGTGCCTCGATATTTGGACAACGTCTCCCTCATTCCTCTGAGTGACGTGATGTACACTCATCACCCTGAGGAGTACGTCACTCATGTACCTCTCACCCTGAGCTCCATGGTACACCTCTCACCCTGAGCTCCATGGTACACCCCTCACCCTGAGCTCCATGGTACCCTCCTCACCCTTAGCTCCATGGTACACTCACCCTGAGCTCCATGGTACACTCACCCTGAGCTCCATGGTACACCCCTCACCCTGAGCTCCATGGTACACTCACCCTGAGCTCCATGGTGAGCGCTTCATTATAACCGACGGCAGCGAACTTGCTGGCGCAGTAGTCGGTCATGCGGTTGACCGCTGTGTAGCCGCCCATGGACGACATCGTCACCACGTGACCAGAATTTATCTTCAGCATCTCCGGCAGGAAGGCTTTCGTCGTCTGCGGTCACAAAAGTTAAATATATGGACTTATAAATCAAATAATATAAATAATTTAACATTTCGATCGTTTAATAAATCGTGTATTACTATTAATATTATCGTATTATATTATAACAATATAAAAAACTTGGAAGAATATGAAATCTACGAGTTCTTCTCATGCAAAATAATAAAATGATGTCTTCTCAAGGGACAACTGAAATAAAAACGAAGACCATTGCTAAACTTCTCCTTTATCATCTCCAGCAGGAAACTTTTGGTCGTTGGGGCATCGTAAGTTAACTCTAAATCTATGATTTGATAAATTGTATTTATTGGGATAAATTTCACAATGGAGAGCTGTAAATCATAGAAGATGAGGTCGCAGGCAACAATAACTGAAATAATTGAGGAAAAACTAGATGAAGAGATTATAAATGTAATAAATAAACATCCTAAATAAAATAATAAATAGCTAAATTGTTCCGTTTTAAGTGCTGGGAGATCTACACGCAACAGAAGTTTCGATTCCTTTGACCTTTTCTCAAAGAAAATATTTCATAAAATAATCTTTTTTAGCCACTCAAAAATTCCAGCAGAAAAATATGACCCTCTCAGAATTAGAGAAACAGTTTAGTTTTGCGCAAAAAAAGTATGAATAGACAAAAAAAATATTCCTCAACAACGGCAACAAATTGAATTGAAGAATTTCAGTTCATATGAACATTTCAAAATAATAATATATCTTTTACAGAATATATATCTTTTCTTTTATATCTTTTACAAGAATATATATATCAGATTTCAGGATAAAGCACATGAATAGTAGCTTATCAGTAACTGAGATATCATAAACGTTAATGCTGTCAACACAAAGTCAACTTTACGTTGAAAACATCGTCATGACACACGCACATAGAAGTGACTGATGATGTTCACGTTGAATGTGTTGACAATTTCATCGTCGTTGGAGTCGAGAATATTTTTGCCGTAAGCAACGCCTGCATTGTTGACGAGGATGTCCACCTGATTGTATACAATATTATACATTAGTTATGAATAAGAATTATCCAGCAAATATAATAGGATTGTGTGCAACTAAAACTTAAAGAACAAAGGCGCGTCAATGTAGTGCTGACGAATGGTGTATAAATGAGATGATTGTATTAAAAATAATANAACGCCTTGCTATAAAGTTTGTGAAACAATAGAATAATTACAAACGGCCACTTAAAAATGCGTCTACTCGGTAGACTAGCACTCTACTTACCATGCCGAACTGGGACTTGATTTTGCCGGCTGTGGAGTAGACTGCCTCGCGGTCTGTCACGTCTACTCGGTAGACAAAACAACTACCGCCAGTAGACTCTACTTTGTCCTTAGTCTCCTCCAAGGCTGAGTGCAGACAATATATTTTTTTAAGTAGGCGATCAGTGCATCTGTCTTAACACTTCAGTGTGTTTTATAAAAAATGCACCTCTGAAGAAATTCACCACTTTACCTAACAATTTTGCATGGATTGTCCTATATATACATGGAAAATATACGCATATATCCTTAAAATAATGTATACGATAATACATATGCTAAATATAATGGTACACGGTTATATATGGCAGTGTTTAGTCTTTAATGATAATAAAAGGTGATATGAATATCATAATATTTGCTTGTATACATAAACAATCCTTCAAAAAAATTTCCCTCACCTCTCAAGTTGCGGCCCCATACGAGGACGGTGGCCCCAGCGGCGGCGAACCTCAGGGCAAGCTCCCTCCCCAGGCCACTCCCACCCCCCGTGATGAGGACGATATGTCCCCTCACATCCCTCCTCCTGAAGCGTCTGGGGGTGAGGGTGCGTATGAGGGCCTCCAGCGCGTACACCCCCGTCAGGGGCAGCGCCCCCAGCATCTTCAGCAGCGTCAGCGTCAGCCCCGCCACGCCCCCGGCCACGCCTGCGTCGCGCTTCATAGTGTCTGCGGGGAAAATTAGGACTTAAGTAGGAATGGCAATATGAATGAAATGACGGCATAGGAAGTATAGAGGTATAATAGTATAGCAATAATCGATAATAGTGTAATGATACACGCGCATTTTCTTCTCGAAGTTAAAGGGCTAATGTATATTTGGCGCGTCAGGGACCGCGTCTGCGCGACGCTCGTCACGTCCACCGCGTTTTTTTTTTTTTTTGTGGGCCACTGGCGCGCGTTCTTGAGAATTACGTACGCGCGATGAATGCTTGGCTAACGGTTCTCTTGTTGACCATCACGAACAGGGGAGGGAACGATCACCATCACGAACAGGGGAGGTAACGATCACCATCACGAACAGGGGAGGCAACGATCACCATCACGAACAGGGGAGGTAACGATCACCATCAAGAACAGAGGAGGGAACGATCACCATCAAGAACAGGGGAGGCAACGATCACCATCACGAACAGGGAAGGGAACGATCACCATCACGGAAATGGTAAATATCGTACAGAATTACTCATCGATGTGCTGAGGACTTGTTTAATTTATTTACGTGACATAAGCACAAGCTGCTGGCGTTTAAAGGGTAACCAAGATGGCAACTCACGTTTTCTTTCGTTTGTAGTACACACACTGGCTAGAAGTTATCAACAAAATCATACAATTTTTGAAAATTTTACGGATGTGAAATCCACTACCGGGACGATAAGTAACGCTGAATCAGCCCTACTTAACAGCGTGGGAGGTGGTTTGGGTTAGGTGGATGTCCTACACGGTTTCTGGAAATCAAAATCCAAATTAAGCTATGAAATAATTAAATCCCCTAATGAGGTACAACTTTGAAGCACTTAATTTGTCCAGTTTCTACATAAATTGTATTAATAAGAAAAATAATGAGGAAGCAAGAATGGTTTCGTTTTATCTATAACTTTCGGTTTTATCTATAACTTTCGGGAGTCACTTTTGAGGAAGAGGAAAAGGATCCAAGACAGAAGCACCTCAGACAGCTTCATCTCTTTTCCCATTCGGTTCCCGTAGTATCTTAAATAAATAAAAATACCCTAGACGCTTAGCGCGTGGTACTCACACCGGCTCAGCTTCCTTAGGAGAGGACCCACCTGTCCTGAGGTGTGTGTCTCACCGCCGCACTGCAGACACTGAGAACTAACTACAGGGGCACCGGGCACAGTGGCTGCGGTGGTTGCAGTGGATGCAGTGGCACGTGGATGCAGTGGCACGTGGTTGCGTTACCACCCTCGTAGGAGTATATACGGTGCCATTGCTGCAGAGGCACATAGCGTTCCAACAATGTGCTCGCTGAGACTACTATCTGCGTGTTGGGGGGATAGTAACTTATGCTTATAAGAGAACTTATGATGACGCGAGAACTTACGATGACGCGAGAACTTACGATGACGCGAGAACTTACGATGACGAGAGAACTTACGATGACGCGAGAACTTACGATGACGCGAGAACTTACGATGACGCGAGAACTTACGATGACGCGAGAACTTACGATGACGCGAGAACTTACGATGACGCGAGAACTTACGATGACGCGAGAACTTACGATGACGCGAGAACTTACGATGACGCGAGAACTTACGATGACGCGAGAACTTACGATGACGCGAGAACTTACGATGACGCGAGAACTTACGATGACGCGAGAACTTACAGTGACGAGAGAACTTACAGTGACGCGAGAACTTACAGTGACGCGAGAACTTACGGTGACGCGAGAACTTACGGTGACGCGAGAACTTACGGTGACGCGAGAACTTACGGTGACGCGAGAACTTACGATGACGCGAGAACTTACGGTGACGAGAGAACTTACAGTGACGAGAGAACTTACAGTGACGCGAGAACTTACGGTGACGCGAGAACTTACGGTGACGCGAGATATTACGGTGACGCGAGAACTTACGGTGACGAGAGAACTTACGGTGACGAGAGAACTTACGGTGACGAGAGAACTTACTGTGACGCGAGAACTTACGGTGACGAGATAACTTACGGTGACGCGAGAACTTACGGTGACGCGAGAACTTACGATCAAAGCGATCGATTTCATGTGAAGTTGCGCTGCGGGGCCGCAAGGTCAGCGTCAGGCTCACAAAAACTGACGTCGCTTCAACAGCAAAAAAAAATGTTAGCTGCTGCCAGGCTGCGGGAGATGCCAGGACAAAAGGAGTAGACTCAGTCCGAATATTGCAGAAAACATATACCTCTTATTCAAATACATTCCGACGCAAATGTGATGTAGCTGGAGCCATAATAGAATTAGCTGCTATACCCACTCCACGGACATGCTCTACGAGCATCTGTTCTCTGGCATTCAAAGAAGATTCAAGAACGGCTCGCACGTTGCAGTAACTAATTCATCCAATTAAATATATACATTTAACAACAGCCGCTTGCGTTCTTTCTTGTTATGGCCTTCACAACGCCCAACGAGCACTGAAACCTTCGAGCATACGCAAGTTCCTCACGAGCAGTTAAACGGTAGCCGACGTTCGGGGATATTGTTCTTAAAGTTTGTCGAAATGCGCGATATTATTTGTCTTATTTTATTGTTCATCTATATTCGCTATTATATCAATAGAAATATTTTCGATCAACTAATAATCGAGTGTTCATGCGTACTGCAAAACCTGAAGCACGAAGCTCTCAATGCCGTTTACATTTTTGGCACGCGAAAAATTTCAGTTCAGAATGGCCTCGTAAAAACTTGCCCACGAAATCGCTCGATGCCCAGAAAATTTCATACAACTGAATGGACAGTCTCCTGTTCTACTAATATTTGAAGTCAAAACCCAGTTCAAAACATTTTGGACCAATTTAAAATTTTTAGAAATACTTAAATCACAATTATTTAAGTGGATACGCCCATTAAATTGACTACAAGGTACGCATGTAAAGTGTTTATACAGAGCGTTACACGCGGCGACAGTGTGCTGGAGTGGAGCAGCTCAGGCTCCATATAGAAAACAGGCTCCTGCTGAAACGACTCAATCGCGAGGCATATGCGACGTTTCAAATGATATCCAGTATTAAATTATGACTACAATGCAGTACAACTCGTTTCCCCCGTAACTGATTCAAGCGAAGCACCTTGCTCATCTCGTATGTAATTTAATTCTCACTTTGATTAAAAAATAGCAATGTTCAAGTCTACTTAAAACTTCGTGTCGTGCCATTAACCAGATTTCTGGCAAATATTTAAGTACTTACTTCCTGCCCGGTCGGCATGCAGCGCAGAAATCAAGGCCTTCCACTCCTGTCTGTCATAGGCCAACCTCCCGACGGTGCGCCAGCTGGGCTCATGGTTCTCAGGTTCACCTCAACGGTTTGCAGTCAGGTGTTCTTGGACCTGCCCCACTAGCGGTGTCCCTCCGTAGTCCAACATAGAGCAGTTTTCGTGATGGAGTCGTTCCCGCCTCTGATGGAGTGGCCAATAGGCCAATACAACGCCACCGCATCCTCATCATGATGGCGCCCATTCTCTTCTGTTTGCACCGTGCAAGTTGCCACACTTTAGAGGCATTTTTCTTGGCCAAAAGATACCCAGGATTCTCCGCAAGCTTCTGGTGTGGAAGAATGACAGTCTGTTGAGGTCGCAGTATTCCAAACCGCGCAGAAAAGAAGACAAGACAAGACTGGCACAGTCCTAGCTTGGTATGGACGATGTACTGGCTCGACTTATAGATTTAGTTCAAGCCACAAAAGGCCTTGCTCGCTCGTTTAGGCCCGTTCAAGGCGTTCAAAAGGCCCGTTTGACCACACTGCCCAAGTAGGTGAAGCTTTTAACCACCGGTAGGTCTTCTCCCTTTACGCTAATCGGTATACTACTAATGGCGTTTAGTCATCACCTCTGTCTTCGTTCGGCTGAAGTGCAGTCAGACTCGCTACGCAAAGGTTTTCAGGCGAATTTTTCCTCTTGCATGTGTTGATGTCTATGTAATACTATAAGGTCAGGTCGTCAGCAAAGTCTAGGTCTTCTAAGTTCGTGAGGATTATCTACCTGACGCCTTTTAGTCATGCCTTCTGGAAATCCACGAAGTTAATAGCGGTTTCAGCGTTGATTAGACCGCTGGACCTGTCGCCGATTATTAAACATCGCAGAGTGTAAATATCTGTGAGGTCGGTTCAGCCTCGTCCCCTGCATAAATCAGCCTGTTGTTGTGAGTCCACAGCTCCTGAGACTCGTCTCTTGATGATCATGCTCGGGATGAACAGAATTATTGCTCGCCAATTGATGTCGCAGAGCGGCACCTTCGCTCACCTCGTATCATAAAAACACATTGATTTCACAAACTCTTCCGATTTTTGACTGCCATCCGAATTTCTTATTGTACCCTCAATGGGATTTCTAGCAAATGCTCAAGAAAGTTTATCAAATCTGCGAGCTATTATCAATCATGATCAAATACATTGACAAGCAAAATGTTATAATGACTTATAAGTCATAAATCTCAACGATATTTACTGGAAACGGGAATATTATTAGAGTAGATTAGTTTAAATTGGAAAAAGATGGAATATCCCAATGAGGAAGCACGTCAATGATTAAATGTCTCCTACGATGAGGTACAATCGAAATCTCCTACAATATAAGTTTTGGCTGAGCAACAACCGAAAGCTGAGGACTCTGAGGCTCGCAAATCATCGTAGCGATGTTGAGTTAGCAGCCAAATGCTGTGAATGAGCCGAATTGAAATTGGTAAACCAATGAACTAATCATCTCATCGTTTTTACAAACGAAAATCACATGTCAGGTTTAGGGCTAAACAACATCTTTTCTGCAGCGGTCATCATCACCTTCAGGTACCTGCATCTTGTCTGCGGTGGAACCTGAGAGCTCAGAGGTCATGGAGGTCACCTGAGAGCTCAGAGGTTATTGAGGTCACCTGAGAGCTCAGAGGTCAGGAAGGTCATCTGAGAGCTCATGGAGATTACCTGAGAGCTCAGAGGTCATGGAGATTACCTGAGAGCTCATAGGTCATGGAGGTCACCTGAGAGCTCAGAGGTTATTGAGGTCACCTGAGAGCTCAGAGGTCAGGAAGGTTCAAGGTCTCGGGGGAGAGGTTGCGCTTCATGGCATAGGCGTNTTAAGGTCTCGGGGGAGAGGTTGCGCTTCATGGCGTAGGCGTCCTCCCCGTCCGCGTAATACTTGGGCTCGATGTCGGATATACTGCGGTACACAACAAACATTCAACTCAGGGCGTTCAACATTCAACTCATGACATTCATAATTCAACTCAGGGCGTTCATCATTCAACTCAGGGCGTTCAACATTCAACTCATGGAGTTGTTTAGGCACGACGACCCAAATTCATTAAATGCTTCTATGATTGAACAATACTTAACTGCAACAAGAAATGGAATATTCACTGGAAATTGGTGAGATGTCAATTGACGGATCGTTTAGTTAAACTTTTACAAAGTAATAAGAGTATAGGTAATTGTCATCAACGCCCAACTGCACACTGCCGTGAACTGCACAGCACTGCCGTGAACTGTACAACACTGCCGTGAACTGCACAGCACTGCCGTGATCTGCACAACACTGCCGTGATCTGCACAACACTGCCGTGAACTGCACAGCACTGCCGTGAACTGCACAGCACTGCCGTGAACTGCACAGCACTGCCGTGAACTGCACAGCACTGCCGTGAACTGCACAACACTGCCGTGAACTGCACAACACTGCCGTGAACTGCACAACACTGCCGTGAACTGCACAACACTGCCGTGAACTGCACAGCACTGCTATGAACTGTACACTGCATAACACAAACGTGAACTGTAACACAATGACGTAAACTGCACACTGCACAAAACTGCCGTGAACAGCACAAAACAGACGTGAACTGTACACAGCATACACAGCACCACAATAAAGTACATAGCACAAGACTGACGTGCACAGCACAAGACTGACGTGAACTGCAGGGTGTTGGTGTAGAGGTGGAGGGCAGCACGGTTGCTGCGCCTGACATGAAGGCTGACGTACTTGGCGTTGAAGGCTTCCACCATCGCCTTAGCCGTCTGATCCATCAGCTTCTGCGCCAGCCCCAGCCGCCTGTGGTGGAACAGCTGGATTAATGGTGGAGTTGGCAACCTCTTGGCACGAGTGATTTGAGGGGAGGATAGAGGGGGATGGAGGGTGAAACTGTCTCTTATACACATCTAGATGTGTANGCCTCTGTCACAAACTCACCCAACAATGTTGCCTCTGTCACAAACTCACCCAACAATGTTGCCTCTGTCACAAACTCACCCAACAATGTTGCCTCTGTCACAAACTCACCCAACAATGTTGCCTCTGTCACAAACTCACCCAACAATGTTGCCTCTGTCACAAACTCACCCAACAATGTTGCCTCTGTCACAAACTCACCCAACAATGTTGCCTCTGTCACAAACTCACCCAACAATGTTGCCTCTGTCACAAACTCACCCAACAATGTTGCCTCTGTCACAAACTCACCCAACAATGTTGCCTCTGTCACAAACTCACCCAACAATGTTGCCTCTGTCACAAACTCACCCAACAATGTTGCCTCTGTCACAAACTCACCCAACAATGTTGCCTCTGTCACAAACTCACCCAACAATGTTGCCTCTGTCACAAACTCACCCAACAATGTTGCCTCTGTCACAAACTCACCCAACAATGTTGCCTCTGTCACAAACTCACCCAACAATGTTGCCTCTGTCATCCTCGGCAACATAGGAGAGCTGTGGCCAGGACAAGCCGTGGTAAAGATAGTACTTCATCTGGTAGTTCTCAGGCAGACAGAGCAGGTTGCAGTGCTGCATGTGCATCAGGTCTTCAGGCTGCAACATTAAATTATATTATGCAGTGTAAAAACAAAGCATCTTTATAATTCAAGCATAATTTGACAACTGAAAATAATGTAACAGTAACAAGAAATAATATGGTAGTAAACAGACTCATACTTAATGTTGGCATTGAGCTCATAAGTCAATATCTTTTTACAACTCTCAACAACCAGAAAACTGTATGTGAATACAAACTTAGGAATCACTTTGTCAAAACTTTGAATAAAATTGACAAGATTTCATGCATATTGCATGTGTTAATACTTTAACTTACAAAACGTTCAAAGTTAAAGTGAAGTGGAACTTATGTACTTTTAATCATGATATCATACAAGCATTAAATAACAGCTTTCCCAAGTAAGATATTCATGGCTTACACATGGTTATGTAATCACAACTTTCATCTTTGAGATAAAAACAAATCAGTACTCACTGAAATTTTCAATTTCCCTACTGTATATATATGAATAAATATTATACCGGTATATACATATAATATTTTAATGGGATATAATAGTTAAATTTTCATTTTATAGGCCATCAGACATAATACAAAATTTATTTGGTTTCATGGCATTTTATATCTAAACCAGTCAACCTAAATTGCCCCTATCTTTCATTTTTAGAAGATTTATCAATTGTATTAAATTCTATGTATATTGAAATTATTTTTCTCATCAATGTATTTGACTTTAGTTTAAAAATCAATCTTCATACAGTAGTACCTCAAATAACTAAAAATATACTTGGCTCCTTGAGAAAAAAATATTTGATTCTCTACTCATACATTGCCTTCACATTCCATTTTGAGATGATGGAAGAACAAATGGGTTGACAAAATTGCAATTAATGGCCAATGTTCATAGTAAGCAATAATTCAGCATAGTCACTTGCTTGATCCAAAAATATTGGCTAATTTATACAAGGATGAACCAGCTCAAGTTATTGGGATAGAATTGTGTGAGATTTATAGAAGTGTTAATTAAGAGGTATATACACAGATCATTTACAGGGGTTAAACAAAATATGGGAAACACCTGAGAAATCCACATAATATTTTGGTATGGTGTGGGCCACATTTCGCAGTAATCACAGCCTCAATTCTCCAAGATCAATTGATACATACAAATTTTTGTTAATTGTTTCCAAAGTGATTTTAATTTTTCCAAAGTAACTTTTGGCTGTCTCCAAACATAAACTCAGCCAGAAATTGGAAATAAGGACAATGATGATCTTCATAGAAAATCATATTTTTCCACTGCTCAAGGGAGCAATTCTGGAGGTTTTTACACCATTCTTAAGGCCTTGAAGCATTTGTATTTGAAACAAGATGTTTTCTAATTGCAGCACTTCCACAGAATTCAAATCTGTGAAGCTCTTGGTGGACAGTCTTTATGGAAACTGGTCTGTATTTGTCCATTGAAGTCTGCAGTAATTTTAATATCTGTGGTCTTTTCATTGTCCCTCATAATTCAATTTAGGTACCTACCAACCATCTCTCTCAGATAATTTCAACTTTCAGCAAGAACTGTGGTTGCTGAGGATGTTTTTCCTCCTCTTTCAAAAGCAGTCATTACTTTTGAGACCATACTTCAAGATACGTCAAGCATTCAAGAAGTTTCAGTCACACTAGCACCTGCCATATAACAATTTGGCCTCTTGAAAGTCAAAGAAATTCACCATTTATAGGTTCTAGGTTAGGAAATAGACACAAAAATTCACTAAAAATAATTGTGCAAGAATAAAATATCATTAACAGCAAAAATACAATAAAACATTAAATTGTGCCACATTTTCATTGTTTATAACTTGTTCAAAAATTACTATATCAAAATGTCTGGCATTTCCCTCATTTTATCAAACCCTTGTATAGGTATTGGATTTAATACAATACCTCAGTTAATATTTCAGAATCAAGCAAATAACCTTGCTGGACCAATATGAAATATATGAAACTCTCTTCTTAAGATACCACCTTTTCTATAAGATGAGCTAAATGACCCATTATAGCAAAAAAATGTAAACAATTGAAATCTTATTTGAGGAAAAAATGTGTATCAAAATCATTAAGAAAGGTCACTTTAATATTATTTGGCTAAAATTAAAAATAATTTTTATTCTAGAATTATGAAAACCCCCCAAAATTAATTTTTTTTAACTTACCTTTGCACATCTAATATTCATATTTCAATGTGGTTTGAAACTGTCTTAAAAATCAATTTGATAAGGAATATTAATTTCAACAGGAAGCGACTGTCATTAAATTAGCAATGGTAAATAAGGAGCAGGTCTGTTATAGGCTGTAGGAGTTCTAATACAAATTTACAAGTTAAGCTGAAAAAAATCAAATATTTTGATTAGTCAGATTGAAAACCTCAGGGCAGGAATACCTATGTCAAAGTTATGAATAACTCTGTTCTGGGTTGACAGTCATAATCTTGAAGGATCTGTCTGATCTATTGTAGATAAACCTGAGGGGTTTGGGTTCGTTTATAATTGTCCGAATAACATATTAAATATTCATCGGCCAGGGAAGGATAATGACAAGACGTGTAACTAAGCGTAAGTATTGAAGATAGGTTCATGGGATACACTAGATAAAAGTTACAGGATCAAAGCACAGTAAGTGCAGTAATTTTGGAGATAGAGTATACGACACTGCGTGTTGGCTGAGTGCCGGAGTCTAGCGTTAACTGCATGACTGCAGCTGAAGCCTGAAGGCTGTCTGCCTAAGACTCGCCTATGACTGACCTAAGACTGACTGGCAGTTGGCTCACCGAGCTTATATACGCGGTGACCATAGTGGCAAACCAGAGTTTTTTTAGAATCAGTTCATTTTTAATTTCCTCATTTGCTCTAGATTTAAACCAATTTCTTAAGTATGATAATGCTGGTATCCACGATACTTTACTGGTCTACTTATAGGACTCAAAATTGAACTTGAGAGAGAGTCTAAAAAACTCTCTGCTTTGCCACTATGGCGGTGACCCGCGAATAGTGACGTCACAGAAGGTGACGTAATAGTCGCTGATGACATCACGGCCTGACACCTAGAATAAAATTATGTTCCATCCAAGTTCCAAGTTCCAAGGCAAAACTATAGCTACGCTACCTACTCTCAAGCTTAAATAGCAAGTTCACTAATAATTTGAGAGCAAATAAAATGACTAATTCACCACATCTAATTTCAATATCTTTACCAAATACCAACAATAGAATAGAATAGAAATGTCAGCACTGAAGAAATAAGCCCATGGCCTGTTTTGGATTCCAGCTCCATCTGTCCATCATAACTCATTAGTTAAAAAATAAATGGAAAACAAGAAAATTCAGAGGAGAAAATGTAAATTTACATAAAATTATAAAAGAAATTAAAACCTACCTATGGTAAGTCCTAACTTCCTAAGTAATGAGAATATGCGTGACAATGGAATATGAAAACCATAACCAATTGATTTGTAGTTTGTACCGGTAGGCTATTCAATTTTATGAGAATAAATAACTGGACAAGGTTTGCATTTAAAAACGTGCAATGATTCCTAAATCACCACGTACTGTAAAATTCAGGATTGGAATTTTCCAACTTGGAAATAAAATCTGGCAGCTCCGCCAACTCCAAACCTCAAAGTGACATACTTTTCATACATCTGTAAACTGTAATCTTGCATTCCAATCATGCACTTTTTTAATGAATCAAGTAGGAGCTGGGACTTGCACTTGGGAGCCTGGGAGGTAATTTATCTAGCAGGAATCTTGCAGCTCCAAAATTGCAGGAAAGCTCTGCCTGCTCTGGTGACCATCCTGCGTAATGCAGCCAGCAGCGTAATGAGGAGGACTGGAGTCTCTGGAGTCTGGACACTGGGACTGGACTCAGGAGGAGATAACCATGCTGCGTATAACGACTAAAAGGAGTAGGCTAGGCTAGCAGACGCGTCGAACTCAAGTTTGGTAAAGTAAGAAACTGTACGCTCCTGACTTTTCATGCAATTATATCTAAAAAAAATTCAACAATTTTGTCATATAACGACTTAGCGAGGAGCTTTTAAAATCGGCAAGGAATTTTTTTCTGGGCATTTTACACTCGTATCAAAATATATGTATAGATACAAGACATTTTTTTATTTACGAGTTCTGAGATATGGAATATCAGTCCCTGTAATTTCGTTCGCAATTGCCAGTTGGGAATTAATTTCAATAGTTATATTGCAAACTTTTTACTATTTCGGATATTTCACACCAAATCGTTAATTCCCATCGATTTACTATTATGTTTCATATACATCCGATTAGACTTGGCATGACCATATCTCCATAAGTTTTCGGTCTCGTCATGGAACTGGAATTGGGTGCGTGCTGACCTCCGGTCACTACCTTTAACTCGGTCATAGACGCTGCAAAAATATATCTCATGCCCCACTTCGTTAATCTTTCTTCCCTCATTCAGAATCACCTCCATCATAGACCGACGCTCTTTCTCATACGCCCCTCATTCCATCACCAAGGACTCCACAGTTTCCTTCTCGTCCCCATCACACATAAAACATTTATCTTCCATTTTCTCATTCCACCTTTATGCACGTCCATTCACACCTAGCGCCCCTGCCATAATTAACACAAAACAGAAGGTCCCAACCTCTACTATCTTCCTGTATGCATTCATTTTTTGGCATCGCTTTCATCTGATGCAGTCTCAGAGTGTCCTTTCCCTCCATTCCTTGCGTCCACACCTTCAGCCCATAGTCTTTCACTCGCTTATTTATTTCTCTTTTCCATTTTTTTCATCCCACTCTATCCCAATCGCACCCCGTACTCCCACCCATTCGTCCTTTAGCCCAGCGGGTCTATGGCGCACCCATGCTTCATGCATACCACACTTACGTATCAATGCACGACATCAGCGTGCCCATTTGCTCTCCTTCATGTTCCACATATGAAGGACGCATATGAAACATAGTGATAGGTATGTATATTCCACCACATATGATACATAGTACCAAGTGCACGATTCGGCCCAAGTACAATTAGTTCATGACATGTTTCAATAAATCTCCTCACATTCTAAAATTTATTCCTCATATAAAACTGTTTCAACATATTTTTTCTTCGATGATGATCTTTGTTGCCGATTTGGCTGCTGAACCAAGTGATGAATAAAATTTATAGTATCCATTTGTTTTCTTTCTACCAGCATGTGTACGAAAGTTTGATAGAATTAAGAATTGCTTAGGTAGTTGGAAACGTAAATACTGATTGTGCTCATATATATCGTTCATGTGCTGTCAAACGTGAATTAAATACTTCTACATTCATATAATAGAATTTTTCATTAATCAAATTTGAAGTTTATACTTGTATTTCGAGTGTAATTTCAAACGTCAGTGATATTAGGCCCGCCTATATGCCCAAAATAATTGGGTGCGCGAGAGGTGATTGTTGGGCTTGTCGTGGGGGCGATCGTCAGAGAAATCCGGCCGTAAATCTGTCTCAGACGTGTTGCGATGTTTGGTCATGATAGGTGGTTGTGAGAGACGGTCATGAAGGGTATAGTATAGCGGTGTCAGCGTTCATTAGGCCGTAAGATCAGTCGCTGATTTCGAAAAATTGCAGAAGATTCACAGCTTGTTGTCTCGAACATGCAATTCACTGCTCCAATTCTGTTGTACCTAACCGCCCGGCATACTCGCCGATTCGACCAGGACTGTCACTGGATGCTGGTATTTGAACTATAGCTCGCTGCTTTAATCTTGGCACTCTGCACTGTTTCCACTGGTCCACCCTGCCCTCTAGGATTGTCGTGAGGGATGTTCCTAGAGTTAGTAACTTTGGGTGATCTTGAGAAGTGGTTGTGAAATTTGGTCGAGAGAGGTGGCCGCAGCAGGGTTCATGAGAGTTGATTGTGAGGACTGGACCTCTCTACTTTCCCTACATGATGAAAAACATTTATGTGCTATACCGATTATCGTCAACTGATATCTTCAAAAACGAGAGCCAAGAGTTTTTCACACTCCTGACGGCCGTCTTGGTAATTATTGTTGGCTATATGAGAACAAATATGCGTTACTAAATAATATACTACTAAAATAATTACTAAATGGCATATAGCTTTGCCTACTAACTGAAGCACCGTCACCTGTTCACATGCACATCACAGAGCCAAAAGTTCTAAAAAATTTTATCGTAAGAGGCGAACGGTTTTGACAAAACACGTCAGAACATATCAGATTTAAAGTTCCAGCGGGTTGTCAAACTTTAAATCCTTCACGAGTCATCAGTCATGTCTTTTGTGCTCGTTAGTCTCGACTCTCGTGACAGACGTGAGTCACGTGACTTCTATAATATTTCGTACATATTTTCTTGTTTGAACTATAGCCGTTCACAATAACCAATTTGGTTATAGTCAGACGTCATCTACCTGGTACTGGTAGTGGGATTCTGGTAACTGGAACTCGAGGCAGCATTGAGGGAATTTGAGGCTGACTGGCTGAGCAAATATAATTTTGCTAGTATAATGCAATATGAATCTGCCAAATTACGTTTAAATTTTTTTTAGAATAATGACTTTATTTATCAATATTGTCAACAAATAAAAAATTACCATGTACATGTTTAGTCTTTTTCTGCAGGAATTTCCAGTACTTTGATATCATTTATTAGCTGAACCAAAAAAGAAAACAGTCTTGAAAAAATGTCTTTGGATGAGGATGTTTTGACCCTATTGCGTGACACATACCTATTCTTCACAATTTCTACCTCAGCAGAAAGTCTTTCTGATGATCTTCTTATTCAGGTGAGAAATTATACCTTGGACTCTGAAGGAAGATTTTTTCTACTTAAAGATGACTGGACCAGGGTGTAGTCTATTTTGGATTTTGGAACAACTTTAAAAATAAAAGACCCCCTGTAAACATGTGAAACTGCCTGCAGCCTGCAGTAAAGTATATTATTGATCATTTCAGTAATTTTTACGGCTCTGCTTAATTTTGTATGTGTAAATAAGCCATGGTCAGGGAGATGTGCCAGGTGCGCGGGAATTTATATTGTCATTTCAACGACCTGCGCGGTGCGCCGTACTATGCCGGTAAAGAAATGCGCTGTGGCGGCGGCTGTGCGCCAGTAAATAAGAAAGATGGCATTATTATTGGCATATTTTCATTATAAATTTTGTTAATCACTTCTGAAATGATATTTTTTACCTGCAGTTCCAGCCTTCCAGGACCAGTATCTAGTTACCAGTAATCCAGTATTGCATTCTAAATGATTCTATTACAAAATGGGGTGAAGAGAGTAAGCAATGATCTGAAGGAATGCAACACACCAGCATCAAAATTTAAACCCTAAGAAGGGCTTGCTGCCACATTTTTCTATGAGTACTCTCTTGTACTTATAGTTATTTTTTAAATAAATCTTGTAATTTTAGGTATAACAGTAAAAAATTCTTTTGCCAATTTGGAATATTGAGCAGAAGTTTTATAAAATCTGCGGTAATCACATTTTAGTGATTTTACAGGTGATTTTAGGAAATAATGCTTAAAATATGCTGTTTTTATTTTAATAGAAGAAATTAGTAAAAGGCCATAGGAATGGATAAAATTGGCCAGAATATTGAGTGGTTTCAGCCCAATGGTCCACTTTTGATACCAGCAAAATTTTTACCTTAAAATTTGATCATTACAACTACAAGAAAATTGTCAAACTCTGCGTCATAGACTGTGGCATGCATTGTATACTAAATTTCAGGTTAGAGATTAATCAGGAGTGAGGAGCCGATGCATTGAGCTCAAGTTTGGTAAAGAGAGAAACTATGTCCCTGACTATTCAGTATTCATGCAATTGCATCTAAAAAACTTCAACAATTTTGTGATACAGCAAGGATATGTTTCATTTATGTTGAAACAAGGTTGTGATATAGCAAAGAAATGCTTCATTCTAATGTTAAATGTTTCATTTAATTCTAATGTGAATCTTATGGCTTGAATAAAAGCAAAAAAGCTCTAGTTGACAGTTATGGCTTGGGAAGAAGATATTTTCCCTAGTAGTGGCCAGGAAGTAATTAGAGTTAATTGAGGAGAAGTATCCATTAAGTAATATGTATTTGAAATAACAAAAACTTGTGAGTTGATACTTGATTGGAGGACTGGTTTATTTATTATAAAAATAGAATGAACATTCTCTTATCCTATACCAGGTATATATTTATTGAGTTACAAAAAAATATATAATCTATCATCACTTTTTCAAATTTGCAGTTTTGATTTTATTTTTAATGTGTTATTGCAGTATTATCTTAGTGCATTTCAGGTGCTTTTATAATTGCTAAAAACCTGTACATTATATAAATAAAATGATTGCAAATTATGAGCCCAAATGTGTTTTTTATATTTAGATTCTTCTTCCACTTTCCTGTTGGCATTTGTTGATATGTGCCACCTGTTACAGGTCTATATGCGGCTGTTACAAGTGTTGGACTCTAACTATGAGCCTATGAGCAGCGAGCTACAGCCTACTGAGGCGCTGAAGCACATCTACAGGCAAGACTTTTTTTTTACTTATTTATGCCTTTCCCTTTCTATTTTTATACTTGTGAACAACTCTAGAAATTTTTTTTTTCTGCAATATCAAAGGTATACATGTTTTAAAACATTATTAAAATTCTGTATGTAATACATAAAATGTGCAAAGTAAATTTGTGAATATCCTTTTGTTCTTGTGTTGAAATATTTCAATGCTGCCCATGATAACGGGCAGCATTATCATGGGTTGCTCTTCTTTTATCTTTTATCTATATTTATGATAAAACATATGCAATGAAAATCTCAGATCTTAGTCTTATGCTGCCTTTTATTACTGGATATCATGTTGCCTATTATTACTTAATATCATGTTACCTCTGATCATGTCACCAGACATCATGCTCTCTTCAGATCACTGCCCACTATGCTTCTCTCTTATATGAATGTGATGATTCATTCCTATGACACCACACATCATTGTGCCATTAGGTAACTTCATATTATGCTACCCTTAGATCCGCATATGTAATACACTGAGGGTACCCTCAGATCTCTGTATGACTGCTGCCCTCAGATCACTGTATGACTGATGCCCTCAGATCACTATGGCTGCTACCCTCAGATCACTGTATGGCTGCTGCCCTCAGATCCCTGTATGACTGCTGCCCTCAGATCACTGTACGGGTGTTGCCCTCAGGTCCCTGCGGCACCTGGAGCTGCAGTACCTGGTGAAAGAGAACAGTTGGTCCAGGATCCTGATATGGTGCATTTATCAGCAGCATTCAGTGGCCAAAAAATGTTGAAAAATGTGGCATTAAAATCTATTATTTCCATAGTAAGCATTTCTTCATGAGACATTGCTCCTACTTTTGGGGATAATTTTTTTTCTTTTTTATATCGTTAGGTATTTATTATGGGTAATAAATTTAATTCCATCCTCTGTCAATATTAGTTTATTTCATAAATTTCTGAATTTATGTTAGCTTTTTATTACACAGTCTTAATATTTGCTGGAAAGTTACATGGTCATTTCACAATCTTCCTTTAAATGTGTGACTAAAGAGATGTTTCATCATAGGGATGTAGAGTTGTTTCATTGTAGCAACTTACAGTTGTTTCATCGTAGCGATTTACAGTTGTTTCATTGTGATGAAGTAGAGATGTTTCATCGTAGTGACTTAGTTGTTTCATCACAATGTTACTTGTGATGTGTGGGTAATGACGGTTGACCAAACTGTTACTTGTGATGTGTGGGTAATGATGGTTGACCAAACTGTTGCTTGTGATGTGTGGGGTGATGATGGTTGACCAAACTGTTACTTGTGATGTGTGGGTAATGATGGTTGACCAAACTGTTGCTTGTGATGTGTNTCTGTCCATGGCATGTAAAACTTCCCATAACTTGTTGTTGATGAATGAGAAAATGTTATGACGATTAAACCTTTCATCTTCTTCATTGATTATATTATTGGCATTGAATGGCTTCTTCCGAATTGCTTTAATTTGTGTCTGGTAGATTATGATTCAAACTGTAAAGAACCAATTTGTCTTATATGCTTGTTTGTTGAGTTGGTGCGTAATGCTCGTGGAGGTAGAGGAAACAACTGTGATCGTGTACGCAGGTTTTTAAGCAAACTATTGCGGTAAGGTATTATAATTATTAGTTATTATAATACCTTACTAATAATTATTAGCTATCGGTATTATAATTCGTTTTTGAAGTAAATCAGGCATGGCTTGTCTTGCATACTTAGGAATTAGGAAATTTAATTATTAACTAAATGACAAAAAATGTCTTCAATGAAAATAATTCGGCAGGTCGAGAGCTGGCCCGCACTCCCGTCCTGTGCCAAAATCCCGGTGCCGTTGAAAGGGATTTCGATGACGCGGCCGAGTCTGAGCCACACAATAACTGCGACCCAACCTCCCCTGTGTCCTGTACCAATTCTCATACTTCTGCCATTCCATCTACAGCCTTCACTTTTCCTACTCTACCATCAACTCCAACCCAAACAGCCAAGCTTCACTTGGCACTTTCGCCAGACGCCACTTCAGTAGATCATCCTACTTCGGTTGTGCACAAAGATAATCTGAACACACCCGTTACGGACATCGAGGCTGCCACCTGCGTTCGTCCAGGTATGGACGTCGCTGCTAAGGACAAAAACGTGATACCGCTGGGGCGTCAAATTGCCCGCACGCCGCTCACCAGCAAGCTCTCGGGTGGGTCTCAAAACTCGTCTTCATGTGAGCAGGAGGATGACGACTGTCAAGATCATTTGGCTGATAGAGAAGATACTGCAAGTAACACTGATGTTGATGACCCTGAGCCAGCGGGGAGAGATGATGACGTACGGCGTTTAGGTCATGAGGCTGGTGAAACCAAGGAAAAGAAATGCAAGACTAATTGTCACGAATCACACGAACCATCTGATAGTAATGACGTGTTTCCGAAAGATGACGCTAAGTCGAAGAAGTTGACACAGTTAATGATTGAAGAAGCACCAGGTACAAAGTTCTTGTCTCCTGTCATCGGTAAACGTAATCGGCGGAAAATAGAAAGCTCTCCTAGATTTTTTCCGTTGCCGTTAAGTCCTAAAAGGCTCAATAAACCAGAGCTTAAAACAACGTCTGAAAAAAGTTCCTCTCAGAGTTCAGAATCTATTCTCAAGACGGACACGGACACTGAATTTGATTCTGATAATAACAGTGAAGATTCTGTGGACCTCAATGACATTGTACTTGAACCTCCATCAGGGTTCAATTCTCCACTGGAAGTTGAGCGATCCAATACACTAAGTAATGCTGCCAGAGTACAAGCCTGTGAGAATAATCGGGCGAAATCAAACAACGCAACGTTCGTTATGATACACGACGCGATTCTTCCTTCGACTGATTCAGAAGTCCTGGACGAATTGGCCATCTCTCCTTGTGCTCCAGCTGACACGCCCGAACAACTGCCAATCCTTAAGAGTAATAACCTTAAAACATACAAGCATGTTGTGCAAGATAAACGAAAGACCTATTTTGTGTCGGCGGAAGATAAGAATAAGAGACGAACTTACTTTGTTCTACCCGAAAATTCTGTGAATCCTATGACCACAGATATCAATGAATCTCGGGAAACCTTGTTGTCCAAAGGCCTGGATGCTAGCTCAGCTCTCATGTCGGAAGAATCATTTGTTTTGAACGACGAGTCAAAAATGCTTTCTGTACGTCATGTCCAGCAAGTTTCTCCATCTTCGGAAGATCATGTTTCTGGTCAGGCTCCTCCGCCTGAGCAGGTTCTACAGTTTGCTGCAAGTCACCGCAAGCTTTGTTCCACAGTTGTTCGCTCAAAAAGACGCAATGGAAAGAAATTTGCAGCTGTTAATATTCCTGGCGTTAACATCTCATCTTGTGAGCAGCAAAAAACTGATCGATATATACCCAAGCAAACCGTTGATCAAACTGAACGTGAAGCCGCGAGCTTTGAACCTACTGAAGGCGATAATACTGAAGTAACAGATAGTGACGCCAAGGAAAACACGCTAGATCAAGAAGATGGAATAAGCAAACCGCCACAGCCTGGAATGCATGAAGCTTTTAACGAATTAGAAGATGACAAATTTCCCCAAAAATCTAGGGAAGTTCCCAGTGCTGCTGGTTCTAAAAGGCAGAACGCCACTTTCGTGGTGACCGCCGAGGAGGCATTACCTGGGGATCTTCCCTTTTTGGTCGTTGCGGACTCCAGCGCGTTCGATGATTCTGACAGCATGTTTCCTTCTAAATATTATAAGAAGAGAAATGCTTCTCCTGCCAAAGAATCCAGTAGTAAGCTTGAAGCAGCCTGCCCTAAAATTCCCTCGCCCACAAATGAAAATCCTTCAAAATTTAAAAAGAAAGTGAAGAATACTCAGAAGAGGAAAGAAACTACGGAGAAAATCGAAGACGATCCCGCCATTTCTAAGGGTCGCACAAGGAGGAATGCAAAGATGAATCCAAATATCAATGAAACTTCTAAAAAGGATCTAGAAATGTTGTCTGAATGCGAAACTTTGGATGAGAAACCAAAAATTATCAATAAACGCCCTGGAAAGAAACAGAGAGTTTTTGCTACTGACACGAAATCTGTGGTTGGAGTAGATACTGAAGCAGACACTGAACCTTTGTTTGAAGCAGACACTGAACCTTTGGTTGACGCGGACACTGAACCTTTGGTTGAAGCGGACACTGAACCTTTGGTTGAAGTGGATACTGAACCTCTGGTTGAAGCGGATACTGAACCTCTGGTTGAAGCTGATGCTGAACCTCTGGTGCCAGTGTCTGGAAAGACGAGGGGCCTGAGGAGGCCTTGCGCTGTCATCAATTACTGCGAAACCAGCCTCGAGTCCACGCCAAATGCTTCTGCCGATGCTGGCATCAAATCTAATCGTAAACTTGCTAAGAAACTTGCTTTAGAATCTAAAAAGGTTCCCACCGAGTCAACATCTGATGCTTCCCAGAACTTGTCAAGCTCTTCTAATCACGAAGAAGCAAATATTAAGGAAACAACGAAAGATTCAGAAAGTTTCGGATCTCCTCAAAGTGGCGCTAAGGCTGAGGTTGTGCAAAAAAGAAAGGGAGCACGAAAAGCTGTGAAGACAGGATCCCCTGTTGAGAAAGTTCTGCAGGGCCGTAAGCCCAGACGCAATAAGCAACCTAAAGAAAACGGTTCTGAAGAAAAAATAGTGAAGAAAGTTGAAGAGAAAGTTACTCGGGAGAAGCCCATAGATGACTTGGCCGATTCTGATGATGAACCTGAAGTTGAGGTTATGCCTGTTAGAAATTTGCGGAAGCGAGGTGCCGTTGCTACTGCATCTGCTGCCATCGTTCAAACACAAGAAGCAAATTTTGCTTCAAGCCCAGACAAAAAAGCAAGGAAGATACGTCGCCGAAATGAAAACACCAATAAAATCGAAGCGCAGGAAGAAGTTCCTTTAACGGCAGAAGCTTCCACCGTCACGACGGGTGAAAGAAAAGCTAGAGCGACGCAAAAAGGATCGAGATCCAAGAAAACTGAAGCGGTGAAGGTGTCTGCTAGACGTCCTGTGGCTGCTGGTAAAGAAGACGTCTCTCCATCGAAGGGAAGTCAGCTTAATAGATCTGATAGCAACAATCTTTTCCTTAGTCCAGTTGTCGAAAAGAAAATCTTGAGAGTTTCGATGGGCAAACGAGTTAGTCCAGAAAGCTTCTCGCTCCCTACGAGTCCGGCTAAGAAAACTCGACTCGCCAAGGCCTCAGCTAAACAAGAAGTGGCGCCGGTTATGGACAGCAAAAAAGCGACAGTAAAGAGCAGATCTGTTAGCAAGGACAAAGTAGCAAAAGCTCCAGCAAAACGCGTTATTGAGAAGAACGCTAAAAGTAAAAGCAAACCAGACGTGGACGCCAGCAAAGCTGCTTCTTCACAGTCCACTCGTCCCTCCCGCAGCTGCAAACTGAAAGCCATGGAAAGTTTAGCAGCTGCTGCTGTTGACACGTCAGTCAACTGAACTGTAGTATTTTTTTATATTAGCTGAATGTTAGTAGCTTAGGAGGAGAACAAAAATTTGAGTATAATCTTTGATCGTTGTTACGCCATATTTCACTGAATAGTAACTTTTCAATCCCAGTTGTAAAACTGATCTTTTCACTGTAAAAACGTCGAGTCTTGATGAATAATTTCTACTGTGACGGCAGAGCGGGGAGTACGATATCTACTATATCACGAATAAAGTGTTCTTGATATTCTATATCTAATTCTATGAGTTAAAAAATAATTTTATGAAAGAAAATGAAATGAATAAATGTATTTCCTTGTTTTTAATGTCTATAAGTGAACTTTTTCACTGGGAGTTGTATAAAATTTCTCATTGCCAACACTGTAACCGTAGACAGCAGGTTGTCCCTTCACGATTATTCTCGATTTCTAATGCACATTAAATATATTTCATTCCCGTTTTTTAAATTTTTCACTTGAATGAGAGCACATTTTATTTCTACCAAGCAGAGCATTGATCAAGATGTATAATGTGTACGCAACTCATAAGACGATCAAGTTAACATGTCAGCGCTCATTTCCAACATTTTACCCTCGATTTTTTTGCCCTAAGCCGCTTTTATAAACGGGGGTTTTGCGCAACTCGTTAGCCTCGATCTTTTGTGTAGCCTCAGGCCACGTGATGTGCAGGAGTTGTTTTCTTCTTTTTGGTTTCTACTTCCATGTATTTTGGTTGTGATTTTACTGGCCATAGCGGCGGTAATCAACTGTTCATAAACAGTGCATATTCATCCTTCATGCCTGTGGCGCTTGTGATCGATGTCACTAATTAAATGTTTTATATTCATTGCTAATCTAGGGCACAGAAGTCCTTTTCTTTTAGGTTGTTATTAGAAGGCCGGAAATAAAGCCTCGCCGCCTCTTGCCACAAATTCCCAAGCTCAAACTACGGAAAAAGTTTCGTCTGTGTTAGAAACTTCAAAAATTTCAGCTTGGTTGTCAATTGAATTAATCATGCTACGATGATAGCGACGAATCAATTACACTGTCTTTCATTCATAATACAAGTTATAAGGCTTGACATTCTGTGGTCTGCGTGACAGGTCAGCGATGTCGCACATGTTCCTCAGCCAGGATGGCCAAGTTAATGTATACGATGTGAAGCTATAGTATATTTACAGTGCAATGACAGGGTAATAAAAATTAAAACCTTTGAAGTCAGATAAACGATATAATGGGAAGAAGATCCTGGGTGCAAGCAAGGATGTAACGTTCACCATGCGATTAATGATTGAACATGCAACATGAATGTGCTTGCAACATTCAAAACCAAAACAAGGGTTGATAAACATTCAAGTCTTTTGAAATTCCAAAATGACCGACTGACGTTAATATTGTTCATAAATTCAATGAAGGTTGGCCGGTCAGGTCTAAACTCAGACAGGCTATTGGTCGAAATTGCGGTCAGCATGGTTTACTTACCAGACCAGCTTTTCGCTGTCCATCCCTTTATTAATTAACATTCGATATACTGTGAGCCGAGGCAATATTTAGATATAGAAAACGTTCAAACTTTGACCTCAAATCCTCTTGAAATAATATTGCAAATTATAATCCGAATGTATTGATGCACATGACACGAGGCCCCGTCGACTGACCACCTGCGCCCCCAATGAAGGAACTCGACTAAAAACAAAGATAAAAACTAGCGAGTCCATCCAGTAGCAGCAACGCCTGCACCCAACAGCTGACTTTATATTTAATAAAAAATTTAGGCGCGCCATTAGCAGCCAAGCACTGGACACCGATGCGAAGTGCAAGATTATGATGGTCATCAGAAAAGTGTCGTGTAAACATCTCTCAGAGAAATGAGAGATCTTGTCCAAATAACTATGCACATTTGAAATTTGAATGTGTTATCTTGACCTAGCTTGGCTGGGCAAAATGGCGTAGGAGGGCAACGTCCACTCCCTGCTTGTGCACTGGAAGAAATGGTTTCTATTTGAACAATAAACCCATTCACTTCATTTGAGTGTTGCGTCGGACGCGTTGCATAAAAATGGCAAAGAAACAATGGGAGTTGACCTTAATTAACTATTCGAATGTTCAACGATTTACAACTACCATAGCAAACATAACAAACAATTTATGATTTATCTTCAAGCTTAACACGTTGAGTGCGGCGCGACACAGCGGTGCGTTGCATAGCGTTTTTTACTGACAAATTCATCGATTTAATTTATTTTAATTGCGTAGTCCGGTAAATATTTATAGTGTCGGTACTTCCTTATTAAAATTTAAAAAGTAAGAAAAAATAAAAATTTAATTTTTGCACCGGAACCTACAAATTTACTCGTAAATATTGAATTATTGGCCTTTTTTGTCCGCGGACTTGGCCGTTTTTAGGCCATCTGGCAACCCTAGTGAGTCAGGCCGCCCTTAACGTGTTAAATAAGCATTTGCATTGCGAACCTTCACGCAGTTATGACCTGACGAACATTCACATCCTATGGCTCAAATCTGTATTGACCTACCAAGCTTTATTGATCAAATTGTAAACAACATCTATAAACAATCAATAATGACGCGTAACAAATCGTCTATGAAGAACATTTAACTTCTCGAATGTAAAATTTCAAGGAATGAGTTAATAATTATCTGCAGATGTGAAGAAATGATACCTTGACGATGAATGGTATCGCATAGAATCGCGGTATAACATTTAAACATTCATACCTCTTTGAATCATTGTTAAACATTAATTTTGCGAGAACACGTCAATTACATATATGTGATTTAGAACTTTACACAGCGAGCAATACATGAATGAGTGATTCATGGTTATTGAATCAGCAGAGGCAGGCAAAAGCAATAATAATGAGCTCGTATTTAGATACCTTCAATGTATATACATACGTGAGCGTGTAACATCAATGCCCATTAACTTACCACATAATATTTCATTTACATCACATGTATGATTTATTTCTTAACAAATAGAACAATTTTTCAATATAGGTGACAAAGCTTATTGTTCTCTCGAGACGAGCAAGCGTGCAAGAATTATTCTGAAGCTTCTTACTCTCAGAATCTGTGGCTCCCTGAATTTCACCTTGTCATTGTATACAGCAAAACAAACAAGTGTTTTCCTTTAAACATAATTCTTCTTCTCTCATGCGCTACAACTGTAGCGCAAGAGAGAATCTTAATAATCCATTGAATATGTAATAATCCATAATAATCCTTGTCATAATTAATCCATTACTCCTCAAAAATTGATATACTGACACGGGGATCATCTATCACTACACATTTTACTTCTCTTGACGCCTTTTTAGCGCATTTTATCATTTATGGAAAAAATGCACTATTGTGCTCGCCATGTCCGTCCGTGACTTCACGTTTTCGTTGACGAGAAAATGCACTCTTTGTCACTCACTGCAGTGAGTACTGAGTTATATTATTTATTTTCAGCTTTGAAACCACTGCTCAGATGAGCTCTTGACTCACAAAATAGAAACGAATTTTTTCAGTGAACACAGAGTTATTCCTAAGAGCTGTTAATGTACGCAGACTTCACTGAAGAGTTCTCAGTGCACACTGAGTTACCCGAAGAGTTCTCAGTTGACTCAGCGTTACTCCGAAGACTTTTAAGGGTGAGCGCTTACTCTGAAGAGGCGCTGAGCTTTTCGCTGTCCGACGACTTCTCAAGATCAGACTCAGTGAGCAGTTCTGAGGAGGAATCTGTCCGAGTCTCTTTTGCATCAGACTTGTTTTTCCCAGTTCCAGTTTTGGCGGAGGGATCCAAGTTCTTCTTCTTTTTCATACGTCTCTTTTTTTTCTTCTCGGCGGCCTGAGTTGTGTACATGTTCACAATTTGACTCACTTCCTCATCATAATCAAAGTTAATTTGATCCGCGGACTTTTTGATATCCGCAGACTTGTCGAGACTCTCGCCCACTTTTCTGAGTCTTGCGGGGGGCCTTGGCGACGAGTCGCTCGAGTCACTGTACCGCGCGTCGTCGTCTGATGACGACCCGCCTTCGCCCGCGGTGGTCGGGCGCGAGTGTCGCGATTTGCGCGCACTTGGCTTCTCTCGCATCAAGCGAGCAACCACATCGCAGAGCGCAGGGTCGCGCTCCAGCGATCTCATGGCCGCTGCTGCCTCTGCACTCGCGCTCGCGCTTGCTTCGTCCAGCAGAGCGCGAAGCTGTTTCGGCAGAAGTAATAACATTAGAGTGCTTGACAGACGTGAATTGTCATACATGCGAACATATAAATAAATAGTACACATCAAAGTTTGCAGATATACGTGTGCTGACACAATATTCAAAATGTGCTGATAAATGTGAATAATGTCACGTACTGATCACGGGCTGGGCATAGAATAGCTTACCTCCTGAGCATCGTCGAGCCCCACAGGGAGGCTTGGACTCTCCAGCGTGGGAGGCAGCGGCTTAGCTGAGGCTCCTGTTAGGTCTTGATTACGAAGACGGGCCAGCCGCTGCTCCAGGTCTACGTCAGTGCTGCCGGAGTGAATTGACTCCAGCCGAACCTCCTCCATGGCCTGTGCTTCAACCAAACACTTTGTTATGCAATTGAAAATTTCCTACGTGGTATTTCTCGCTAGCTAATTTCAATTGAAATATTTTAGGCCAAATTTACCCCCACTAAAACACAAAAAATGTTCAACACATACAATACACAAATTAAATCTTGCAAAACTTGCATTGCTTAGATAAAGCATAGGCAATTCTGACTTTATTTATATTTAATATTGAACAGAGATTGTGTAAAGTGGTGAAGAAGGCCTGCATGAGCGATGTTAAGCAATTAGAGGCAGGATGTGACTTGACCGCAAAGCTGGGGTAGAAAACCGAAGATCGAGTTTGTTTTTAGTTCGGAATGGCCGAGGGTATCAGAGGGCTGACCCTTGTGGAACTAGGAACTGTCGCGGCGTCCCTTGTTAGGCTTATGTGTGCGCGATGTCTCCCTATACAAGGACCATGAAATTCACACCAAAATGTTGTTCTGTTGTGGCGACCGTCACGCCAGTACGGTCTGCAGCTATCTCCGCAGACGTACGTGACGGTCCCGACAGTCGGCCGGCGAGGTCAGATGGAACACTCGCGCACATTTTTTACATATTCATCCAACTCCGACATAAAAACGTCAGAAATCTACGAGTAACGGCCATAATTTCGCCACATTTGTCCGGTCAACCTTTATTGCCACGGTTGCCGCTTAGACGTGAGACAACAAGACGTTCAACGATATTTAGGCCAGCAATCAGCATGGTACGGTCACAGTCATCGTTAGTAGCGGTACGGTCACTATCTCGAACAGCAGAAGCACAGCAATGAGCTTGGAGTAACATCTTCGACGATGAAGACTACGCCACTATTCAGAAGTACGGTCGTGCAAACAATCTACGGCCAGACTGACCTCGAAACATCTATGTCAGCGAGACATGACGGCTATGGATAATGGACGACCGCGGGCAGCGGAGCCACGCGGCTACGGCTGCGGTACGGCCGCATACGTGTGTTAAGTACGGTCGTTTCCGACAGTCATGCTACTCAACGGAACAGCGACGGATCAACGTTTCTAGTAAAAATAGGGGATTTGAATGATTTTAACGGATAGAGCTTCAACATTGAGTGCGTTTGGATTTCCTTGTGCTGTACTAGAGATTCATGTCAAAGTAGAATGTGAACTGGAATTGCCCAATTTAATTTTAAACGTGCCAGTGTTTCATTGCAGCCCTCTCTCTTGCCGTAACCTATTTCATACAAGAACTTGTATAGGCAAAAACTGCGAGTAAAGCCCAAGACGCAACCTGATTAATTAAAGCAAATACCGATCAATAATAAAATAATAACAATGAACCAAAATCTTCAAATGGCCTTAAATTTCCATAACATATTCTTGCTTTTATTGCCTCGACACCTGAAGCACCCTACGACCACAGCCAATGATGAGAGCGAGTAACTACAGTTGGGCGTGTCATGTACAAACTTAATCAGGCAGCATTACCATGGGTTATGATTCCCATGGAAAGATAGTGATGATAAAGATTGTGTTATAAATGCCTTTATAGAAGTAGTGGTAATGATAAACAATCCACCATCAAACATTCAAAAGAATAATGAACATACACAATTTTTTCTCAACCGTTTAATGTGGTAGTGACAATACGCAATGTATTTTCATTTCCTTAATGCAATTGTGAGCATATACAAAGAATTTTTATCATTTAATGTGATAGTGACAGAACACAATGCATTATAACCCATAATCTCATATTGACATACATAACGTGTTATCAACACTTTAATGAGATGGTGAGCATACACAATGCATGATCAAACAATTAATGAGATGATGAACGAATGTAATGCATTATCAACCCTTTAATGAGATGGTTACCAGACACAATGCATTGTCAATTTTTCAATTCGCTGGAGACAAAGGATGGTGCATAATCAGAACTGTGAATAGATGGGTAAATGAAGCTTAGTAAGTACCAAGTGATGCTAAACAACATGTAATTAATGTAAGATTTGATGCAGTGCAACTCAAAGCATTCAAGACCATAAACTTTAATGTGAGATGAAGCATAAAATGTGCATTGTTCATGTCAGGCATAAATCTATTGGAAATTAAGCTGCACATAGCCAGCTTGATACTTACTACAGTCCAGGGAATTGTTTGCTTACCCAAGAAGTGGCATGGAATTCAACATGAATATCTTGAATGCTCAGCAAAGAAAAAGTATAACATTTTTACATTATGACACTTGAGTTACTGCATAGCTTAGCCATAAAAACATTTGTTTTTCATGATAACATTTGTGGAATTGAAATTTTTTTCATATAACAAATTATTTTGACTTCATTTAATTCAAAATAAAATCTAATAATGTTCAATTAATAGATTCAAGAATCAAAATGAGATTACAATTCCATATGATTTCAAAAATTCCCAAAATAATATATAGGTACCAGTACAGACATAATGAATACATTCACACCTGAGAGAGAAGATCCTGTGCCTTCTGTGCATCAGACCTGTTGTCTGAAGCAAGGGCCGGGTGGCCAGGGGAAGGCTTAGAGTAATAGTCGGCAGGAAGTCCTTTAAGTTTAGCTAGTCTCTCACACATCTCATCTTCTGTGGGAGCTGTGCTGCTGCCCCTCAGCTGATGTAGGCGCTGGACAATTTCTAAATCAGCCTGTAATTTTGTCTGTATTTTAGAATACTTAGCAATCTATTACCATGATTAGAATACCTATAGAACACTTTTAAGCCATGGCTTTAAAGGTAAGAATCTTCCTCACCTGGCACAACATCTAGACAAAAAGCAACATTTAGACTACCAGTACAAGTAACAGCTAGAATTTCTCATGATAAAGTATTCATTTTGAAATAGAAAACTCAAAATATTTTGGAATGATAATTTTTACAACAAGCCATTTTTATAAAGAATACCAGATATGTAGAAGCCATTGAAGCTCACTTTTGAGTGGAAATTAAATGCAAATTAGCATTAAACAAATACAAACCAATTGAAGGAATCAAAATCATACACAAATGTAGACAATTTGGATATTCTGGCTTATTCAGATATTGCCTGACTGGAATATTAGGCAGATTTTTCAAAAGTTAGATGTTAAAATGATTCCTTCACAAGTTATTCTAGACAAATATACCAAAAATATCCCTAATATGCAAATTTGGGATGTCAGGGGAATTATTTCGAAAGCCAGACCCATAAAATATTACCGTCAACCGGGGCTACTCGGGACAGTTTTGAGAGTTTTTTTTGTTAATAACTGTTAATAACTTCTTACGATGAAACATTTCATAAACAAGTTTAGGCTCATTTTATAGCTCTTTGCGAGGGCTATCAAATGGCGTTGTCAAATAATTCCATATGCTATTCCTAAGGTGCCAGAAGCAAAAANGTCCCAAGTAGCCCCGGTTGACGGTATTTTTAAAAAGGGATTTGCCAGTAGTTCATTTGAAAATATGCCAATTTTCAATTAAATAATGGAAATCAAATAAAGTTATTAGTGTCAACTCAGCTCAACTGTCAAATAGTGTGATCAAAAATTTTCAGAGGTAAGTGCTTTTTGGGTAATTAGGCTCATTTCCTGTTAGTTTAGGCAAATTTTTTCATTTTAAATGGGTTGCTTTGGTTCATTTTTTTTTGTTTGGCTGTCCTGAGAACCCATGCATGTCAAAAACTGGTGTGGAATATATCTACCTTTTGAGCCACAACTATAGCTTTTCTGCCATCCCCAGGCCTTTGCAGTTCCAGCTAGATGAATTACTGGTATCTCCTATCTGATTGACAATAAAACTGCAAGACTGGGCTGAGAGATTCCAAATGTTTTAAAAAATGTTCACTTTAGAGCCACAACTTGTGAAATTTCATTCACAAGTAAGAAAATTTCAATCTAGGTCCTAGTAGTATATGCAAAGTCCCAGCAATTATAAATTTGATATAAATTGAAAATTTTGTTGTACTCAGTTTTTCTCATGATCTTATCAAAATCAACAATACCTGATATTAATTTTAGAAATTTTAGTATAGATTTTAAGTTCAATGAATTTAACATACCTTAGCCATGTTTGCATGTCTGGCTCCAGGGCCAGGGTATATTGTGACAGGAGCAATGCTGGGTGGAGGGTTTACCATGTTGAGGCTCTGCTCCAACGGAGAAATGGAGTTCTGCCGTCTCAAGTTAGACGTATTTGAGTTTGATGGGCCGCCTCCTGCACTAGCCATGTTTTATATGCCAATCGACAAATTATTAGCAATTACTGCAGAGTGTGGCTATATTATGTATAAGTATACAAATTCAGAACACAAAAATACAGGCTTTACAGTTTGCAATGGGACTACTCAGATGTTCTTATTATAGGAGCACTGGAAACTGGTCCATGCAGCCCCTTGCCTAAACAGGGTTAATTGGTGCCTCACAGTTACCAATCAGAAAATCTGCAACACACAAAAAATAATAACACAAAAAAATAACCAAGACAATAAGAAACAACAATAAAAGACAATTGAAAGAAAAATGAATAAAGACAAATAAAATAGAGGGACATGATTCAAAACAAACATGGCCACATATTCAAGTAGAAAATAGGCATGAGAGATACAAAATTGAATGTTGGCATCAGAGATCACCACATTGGCAGTGTCTTCTTTAATTCCCAGCCCAGTTAGTTGTGGTATCCACTATCCATGCCCTAACCTGCTTCTCACGTGAGGTTGTAAAAGTTACTGAAGGTCCAGCCTGGAGCTTGAGGGAGGTAGAGTCTGGTAGAGTATTATTGTCGCAGACGTTGAGATGTAATGAGGGACGTAATGAGGGACGTAATGAGGGACGTTGGAGTTATTATGTGTGGTTTGATGCAACAGAGTGGTTTTGATGCTAAAGTTACTTGAGGGAAGTTGAGGCAATCCTATGGTTTGGGTAGACAGCTTCCTGATATATAATTATAGATAACTATGAAGGTGGATTCACCAAAACTCAAAACTGTTACAAAATATCAAGTTTTATAGATATCAAAACTGGCCATGGTTAACTGGCTTACAATGATGATTATTTTTTTTTAGTCTAGATATTTGATTTTTGATATAGTTATCGGCCAGAGTCCACAACCACAAGCACTGTACATTTTTGTAGTATTAAATATGTGACAAAATGCAGTTTTTACAAATTACAATTACACATAATAATCTCAAAAATTATTACAGTCACTAGCTCACAATGAGCTTCTTTTGACTCAATAGTCAAGGCAAGATTCTATGTGGCTAGGCTTACCCTGAAAAAAATAATGACATTGGGTTCACATTGCGACATTGGGGCTTGGGCCACACTGCTAAGTAGGTAGTACTAGTAAGTGCTAACAGTAACATATGAAAAATACTGCCTAAAATTTAGATTTTTTTCTGTGACTGACTTATTAAGATGATAAGGTGACTTAGGTGAGAGAGAGTGGTTGTTTAATGTTTATCAATAAAGTCAGAACTCAAAAGGGCTTCTTTTACCAAGGCGACTTGCTTTGTTTCACTACGATTAAACGATTCTACTGAATGAATTCAATGATAAACTATGAAGTAGGTCAGCCTTTATGAATGCTGTGTTGAAAATGAGCCGATTAACTCTCCACAACCGAAGATACCATACGGCATACATCCTCTCCTTCCACCAACGTCTTGTCCACTTCAAAAAACTTTTCTACTGGTACTGTGTCACTGTACTACTGTATGGCTGGCTCTTTAGGGATACGAATTTTGTATTTAATTCCGCTGTGTTCATAACAGTGATCTGAGTTGGTAAACTCTTTTACTTTATTGGTCAGTACTTCCCCCGTGATTAGGGTGCCCTTCAAATTTCGGCTAAGGCTATCGGGTTTGATGAACTGTAGTGCTGGCCAGCTTTTGGAGATTTGGGCATAGAAGTTGAATGGTAGGGCCTTTTTATCTTCTCGTAGCAGAAGAAAGGTGGTAGAGGAGTGACTGGCCGGCAGTGTTTCATACTGGGTGGAGTTGTTTGAGCTTGAGGTAGGTTCTGAACTTCTGAAGAAGTTGGCGAAGGAACAGGTTTGGTATAACCGTGAAGTCTGGGCTTCTTGGTCTTGGCAGGTCTTCCTATCACTGGTGAGTCGGAAGGGAAGCCGGCAAAATCAGAGGCGTCCATCACTGCTTCGGTGAAGAGGTCTTCTGTCAGGCCAGGGCCTGACGATGATTCAGCCATATTTTCCACCTTTGAGTGTTCTTCACAGTTCACACTAATTCGGTAATCCCTAGTAAATATAGAATTTGCACTGTGTTTCAGATTTGACTACAGCACCGTGAACTTTGGTTGTTGAGCGTAAGCACCACACGTCTTGCCACCATGAACGAACAAACGAAACTCCTGTACTACTGTGGGAGTGTGGGACAGCGGGACATAGGACCATAACAAAAAACTGTTGTATGCGAACTACAGTACGTTTTGCTTACAAACCAGGTCACCGAAGAGTGCACGTAGTCGACAGGAGCAGAACACTCATCACAAAAAGTTTCCCAACTGACAAATTTTACGGTTTATGATCTGGAATGTCATATATGTTCTCAAAAATTCTCGATGCTATTCAGGGTAAGGTATGAGAACGCTTTAGGTTAGACATTGGTTATTTTATAAAGAGGCCATGACCGCGAACGCTAAATAAAAATAGAAGTTTACCGTCTAATAGCCAGCTCAGTCCTCTCCGAAAAATTTTCTTGTCAGAAATGTGCGCCTTGTGAAAATTGTGACATTAATAAATTTAGAAGAACACATTGCAATACATTGAAAAAAACTTTTGAGGTGCAATTCACGAAGGTTAGATTGTGAGAGTAGTTTTTTTGTACAATGAATAACTTTGCATTCAGAAATTTCGTTTCTACATGTCCCGGGGAGTAATAAATCATGGATCAAATAAACATCACTCACACCATTATCATTGATCGATCAAATCATAATCTCTTATAACATTATAACTGATCAAATAATCATGGCTCACACAATATTATTATCATTATCTAATCATCGTTGTCACATTAATATCATGAAACCCATTATCATCCGTCGCGCGATTGCCATGGATCAAACCATGATTATAATGAAAATCATATTTTTACTTAGTTAATTTGACTTCATCGCCTTCGTTGTTCAGCTCCAAATAATATATATAGCGGTTTCAGTGTTTATCAGGCAATAGGCCTGTCGCCGTTTATTAACATCGCAGAACATTCACAGCTTGCTGCGGTATTGAACACGCTATAATTCACTGCTCCAATTCTGCTGTGCTTAACCGCCCGGCTTCCTTGGCGATTCTGACCAGAAAGTGGCGCTCAGAGCTGTGATCGAACCTGCACCTCTTTGCTCCACTCCTGGAACTCTGAACTGTAACCACTGGGCCACCAATAAAATTTGATCATTAGATTACACCTCGATACAATGAGTACTGTGAAACATGCCTATCGGCCACAATAAACTTCCAGCGCTTGGCTCAAAGCAAAGCATTAAGCTGAGTAAATTTTGTCGCAGTTTTTATTCTGTTCACCTGGATTTGGATTTTTTGCGGCGGGGTGACCCTGGAAACTGTAAAGGACGTCCAGGATTCAGACATTTTTATCCGCTATTTGCCACGCGTAATATACTCGTTTTTGTTAGTATGAGATGAGGGAAACCAGGTCAGATCGGACAAATAAAAGCAAAGGCTCGAGAGGCGAGAAAGTTTGTGATAAGGGTAAGACGACAAAAGGAAAAGGAAAAGCTCAGGAAGAAGGTTATTTGTTTGTTATTGCTATCTCTCATTTGTTGCAGTGTACTTTTTAAAGTTTATGCTAGATATTGGTATCAATAAAATAATTATTTGAATCCTTTTACGGTGCTATTTGTTACTACTTTTTCCTTTACCTCCTCCTTTTATTCCTATTCCTCCGGCTTCCATTCTCACCGACCTCTTCCTCTCTCTCGTTCTCCATGCACTCTCTTAATATCGCTTTCCACTCTCAGGCGTAGCACAAGTTACTCATGCTGACAGACCCACTATCGTTGCAATCCAATCGTCTCGCGCTCTCTCATACATGCGACCATCGCCCTCAGCTCTATCCAGCATCACTCTTTTCATTTACAATTTATCCCTTTCATAGGCATCACACCCCATCATCAGGTGTTACACTCTTTCCCACTCACCTCTGTCGCATATAAAACAGCTGAGATATCTTTATTCCACCTGTACGTCCGTGCATTAACACTCAAAGCATTCACTCTAGCGCAGAACAATAACTCTCCACCATTACAAAAATCTTTTATAATTCATTTTTTTCCTCTCTTATAAGTTATATCTAAAACAGTATAGGCTGTCATTTCTTTCCATTCCTTGCTTCCATAATCTTAAACCACATAGTAATAAGTGACAGTAATAGCGGTTTTAACGTTGATTAGACCATTAACCTGTTGCCAATTCTTAATATTCACAGCTTGTTGCGGTGTCGAACACGCAACTCACTGCTCCAGTTATGCTGTGCTTAACTGCCCTGCCTCGTCACCGATTGTGACCAGAAACTGTCGCACAGAGCTGGGATCGAATCCGCACCTCTTTGCTCCGATCGTGTGGTACTCTGTAACCACTGAGACACGATACCCAGTTGACGTAATTTCACGCTCTTTTATGTTTCTATCTTCCATTATTCGACATTTCATTCAATCCCTTTTATACCCTGTACTGTCAGCAAACCTCCCTCTCTTGGTTCTTTACGCCTAGGGTCAGTAGGGTGAGCCCAAGTCTCATGTTACTCACATTTCGTTCACATTTACTCTGCTCATGTTTTCAGGGACATTTTTCGCGCTCATCTTTCATCATCCAATTTTCTTATTCTTACTCATAATTTTCTCATATCTTCTCATTCATTCTTTTGTCTTTGAACATGCTCCTTTGTCAATCCCACATCTCCTCTCACTGTCCACATTGTCACTCCAAGTGCCAGTCTAGCACTCAATCGACAATTCTACGGCTATCCAATTCCGTACAACCTCCAATTTATCCAGTTTACTCCCATTCAAAATAACATCCATTAAATAATATCCATTCTATATATAATCCTAGTCACCGCCATACTTTTTCATGCATCTTTTAAAACATCATATATACAAGCTTTATTTTTAGTCGTTAATTAAAGTTATATTCCGTATTTTAGCGTGACGCTTATATTCGTTACGTCGTCCGAAGTTTCCTTTTGAGGTTCAGTGTATGCTAAACCGTGGCAGTGAGTGGTTGTGTGTTTTAGTGCCTTTGTGTTGATGGTTCTCTGAACCGCTTGTTCTTCGAGGGCGTGGCAAATAACGCGTCATGCCTGTGTTCCATACGAAAACAATCGAGAGTATCCTCGAGCCTGTTGCTCAGCAGGTATGGTTACAGATTGGATAAGAGAATTTAATGTCGTTTCTTGTTTGGCACTTGCCAGTGACTTGGTGAGGACTGAGGAAGACGTAAATTTCTCAGAATCTTGCAGGAGCAGGACTGTGACTGACTCATGCTGATAGCCGACGGAATCACACTCTTGTCTCTTTTCCCTGACTTGTTGACTCACTAATTCCCATTCATGAAAGATTGGGGCTTGACTGATTAACTTACTAATGAATGATTACCTGCTTGACGCCTATATTTGTCTGTAGATAACTATTTATAGAGGATAAAACATTTCTTTAAACAAACAATTTTTTACAATTTTTCAGGTATCATATTGAGAAATATGCAGAAATAGGCAGAAAAGAATGTGTATCAGTGCTACACTAAAATATAGAGTGAATTTATCCAAAAATTGTTGCAAAAAATAACAATAGTTTTTTGGGAATCAACTTGAGGGCAAGGCTAAAGCTTAGGTGAGAGTGGAAAATTGTACAGAAGTAATCATCAATTTTGAATGCTGCAAGGAGCTGGAAGCCCATGCTTGAAGACTGCTGTCAATTTCACTTTTTCCTATAGATACGGTATAACTAGTCTAATTTTTTAGAGAAATTATGTAAAAGGGCACAATTATGCTGGTGATTTACCCATATTCATGTGAAATGATTTTAGATTCAGCATAGGTAATCAACAAATTATTAATTGCATTCCATCCTTATTGATTGCCAGCCTAACTGGAAGAAACTCAAGAACTGGATATTAGAAGTATTAATATGTTTGTTCAAACTCTTTTATATAGTTTTTAAGTAAAAAAATTGCTACTAATTCTGCAGAAGGCCTAAAATAAGTATATAAATATAAGTAAAGTTTGTCATGCAACACAATCCAAGAAACTAAATATTGAATCTGGCTACTAAATATGGCATGGCCACATCTCCATGTTTTCAAATAAAAAGGAAATGTCAATCAAGTTGTCAATCAAATGTTGAGCTGTCAACATAGAAGCATTAATTATGCATTAAAGGCAGTACCCGACTACAGGTATGTATCAAATGAGCAAAAACATTTATAAATGAACCAAAATCACCTGAAAGTACAAAAACATCCTAAATTGGAAAGAATAAAGTTAATTTGAATAAAATCAATCAATTGATCAAGAAGAATGACATAGAATTGCTTGATCAGTTTTTGTGTTTATGGCAATCACTCTAAAACAGAATGTGAATCCTCATGTGTAAATTGTGAGTATGAAAGAAAGAGCCTGAGAATTGTGAGAATAATGTGAAAATTGTATGTATTTTGTCTGCATTGTGAGTACCTATGTGAGATTTGCAAGAATGTATATTGTGATTGTATTATGTACCTATATGGTATATAGTGACTGAGACTGAGTGTACTTAAAGTAAATAAATAAAGTTGAAGTTTTGATTAGAATGTGTCAAGATGTTTGTAGATTAAAGAAGAAGTAGATTAAAGCCATTAACTTTAGAGGTATAGAAAGAATGAGGTGGTTGTGGTCAGCAATGAAGAAATTGGATATTAAAATGGATGGTGACTTGGGTGTTGATGCAAAAAATTTACTGAAAGTCAGGTGGACAATTATGGTAGAAAGGTAGAAACTCTGGTGGATGGTAAAGGTAGGCAGGTAGATGATGTAGGCAGCTGAGGTAGACAAGTAGAAAGTATTAGAAAGTAGTAGACTGTAAGGTAGGCAGGTAGATATGCAGGCTGCTTAGGTAGACAAATTTGTCTACCTAATATATCATTTTCTATTTATAGAAAGTGGTAGAAAGTAGTAGACTGTAAGGTAGGCAGGTAGATATGTAGGCTGCTTAGGTAGACAAATTTATCTACCTAATATACCACTTTCTATTTATGGAAAGTGGTTAAAAAGAAGTAGACTGTAAGGTAGGTAGGTAGATGATGTAAGCAGCTGAGGTAGAGAAAGTAGTAGAATACAAATAGAAAGTGGTAGAAATGAGTAGACTGTAAGGTAGGCAGGCAGATGATGTAGGCAGCTGAGGTAGACAAAGAGAAAGTGGTAGAAAGTAGTAGATTGTATGGTAGGCAGGTAGATGATTTTGGCAGCTGAGGTAGACAAATAGAAAGAGGTTCAAAATAGTAGACTGTGAGGTAGACAAGTACTGGCCACTAAGGTAGACAGGTGGACGGTGCAGACAGCTGAAGTAGACAGGTAGACTGTAAGGTAGACAGGTAGACGGTGCAGGCAGCTGAAGTAGACAGGTAGACTGTAAGGTAGACAGGTAGACTGTAAGGTAGACAGGTAGACTGCAGGCAGCTGAAGTAGACAGGTAGACTGTAAGGTAGACAGGTAGACGGTGCAGGCAGCTGAAGTAGACAGTTAGGCTGTAAGGTAGACAGGTAGACGGTGCAGGCAGCTGAAGTAGACAGGTAGATTGTAAGGTAGACAGGTAGACTGTAAGGTAGACGGTGCAGGCCGCTAAGGTAGACAGGTAGATTGTAAGGTAGACAGGTAGACGGTGCAGGCAGCTGAAGTAGGCAGGTAGACTAAGGTAGACAGGTAGACGGTGCAGGCAGCTGAAGTAGACAGGTAGACTATAAGGTAGACAGGTAGACGGTGTAGGCAGCTGAAGTAGACAGGTAGATTAAGGTAGACGGTGCAGGCAGCTGAAGTAGACAGGTAGACAGGTAGACGGTGCAGGCAGCTGAAGTAGACAGGTAGACTAAGGTAGACAGGTAGACGGTGCAGGCAGCTGAAGTAGACAGGTAGACTAAGGTAGACAGGTAGACGGTGCAGGCAGCTGAAGTAGACAGGTAGACTAAGGTAGACAGGTAGACGGTGCAGGCAGCTGAAGTAGACA